TTAAGAGGCACTCAAGTTATAGGGTTATGTTACTGCATTACTTAAGAGAAGGCAAGCAGTGATTTTCATAGGTTTATGCAGGAAAAATAACAGTTAACCCTAGATTGAAGAAGTCAAGGTTGTAGTGAATGGGAAACACTCAGCTTGGAATCTGTTCCACAAAGCAGCCATTTATGGGAAGAATCATTCCGAATGGAACTTACTAATGGGATACAAAAGAAACAGAAATGATTCACACTTATGTGCCTTTTAGGGTGGGTCCCAGTTTAAAAGGTCGGGAGTGGTGGGACTCAGGAATGTAGTTAGCTAGAACACATACCATAAAATTTTTTTTAGAGTGAGGTTCACTCTTTACAAGGGCCAGGGGCTACTTGAGATAGTGGGTTACATTTGGAGGTCATTTGTGTGTATACAAATAGAATATGACGGTTAAGTTTTGAATGGGTTAAGATTGTAGTGATTGGGGAAGCATCCTCTTGGGAGTTGGTTCCACAGGGTAGTGGTTCACGGGAAGAAGCTGCTTGAGTGGAACTTACTTCTCACTGGGATATGGAGGAATGTGGGTGGTGTGCTACCAAGTAAGTGACATAACATGTTCTTGCCATGAAGGAAATGTAGTTCATCTGAGCACTTTCTGTGAAAGTAGCAGTAGAGCAGTGAGAAGATTGCCACATCCCACACGTGAGAGAGAGGTTGGAGTGTGGAGAATAATTAGTCACCCACAAGGGTTTGGAGACACTTTTGAACTCTATCAAAGCTGGAGAATGAGGTCTGGGCAGCTCTGCCCAAATATGACAACAGTACTCCATTTTAGGCCTGATCTAGCTCTTGTAAAGCTAGAGGATATCAGAAGGAATCAGGTACTTACTGAAGCGGTATAGGAAGCAAAACAATTTTACCTGTATCCTTAGCAATGGATCATATATACGAGTTCCACTTGAGGTTGGGTGCAAGTTCAAGGCCAAATAGTCTTTCAAGGCACTGTGCGTCTCTGAGAGGACCTCTGTTCATCCTGATTGGTAGTAGTTCAGAGTGATGTAGTAGTTTTGGTGATGATGGAATGTAACTATCTTGGTCTTCAAGGCATTGAATGTAACCAGCCAGATTTTACCCCACTGGGTAGTTTGTGCAAGATTGGAAGAGAGATCAGTCGCCAATCTCTAACCATCAAGAATTTTGAAGCTGTGCCAGTATATAATCATATCATCAGCAAGGACCTACCTGTTAGGAAGGATTTTATGATCAAGAAGACCCTTCCAGTGATTCTATAACTAGAGATTAGGAGGTCATTTGTGCATATAGGAGTGGAAGATAACGGTTAACCCTAGCCTTGAACAGGTTAAGATTGTAGCAATCAGGGAAACATCCACTTGGTAGGGAATGTGGGTGGTTTGCTACTATGTAAATTGTATGGCATGTTCTTGCTGTGAAAACCAGGGAATGAAGTTAATTCGAGCACTTTCTGTGGCGGTAGCAATAGAGCAGCGAGAGATTTGCTACATACTGCCTGTGGGAGAGATATTGGTAGGTGGAGAATAATTTGTCACCCACGAGGGATCAGAGATGCTTTTGGACATCAAGGCTTGAGAGTGAGATCTGGGCAGCTCCCACCCCAATATGACAACAGTACTCCCTTTTAGGCCTGATCTGGCTCTTGTAAAGCTAGAGGATAGCAGAAGGAGTCAGGTACTTACTGGAGCAGTACAGGGAGCCAACCATTTTACCTGCATCCTTAGCAATGGATCATATATACAAGTTCCACTTGAGGTTGGGTGCAAGTTTGAAGACCTCTGTTCATCCTGATTGGTGGTAGTTTGGGGTCAGACTAGCGATGATGGTCTTCAAGGTATTGAATATAACCAGCCAGTTATAACCCCATCGTGTAGATTGTGCAAGAGAGATCAGTCGCCAATCTCTAACCATCAAGAGTTCTAGAGGTGTGCTGATATATAGTTGTATCATTGGCAAGGATGTTTACAAATGTGTCTGCTACCGAGCAGCTAGTATACCAAACAATGATGCAGTACACCAGCACCTTCTCAATAGAGAAGCAATAGGTCATTAGCTGCTCCTTTTGTAAATTATTTATCTCAGAGAATTCCTGGGAAATAGAGTTGCACCTACGCCTTCTTTATTATCATGGTGATATTGCTATCCAGGTAGATCCTCCGCAATGCGCATGCCCAGGAACTTAACTTTATCCACTCTCTCCACAGAGATGCCACCAATCTTCACTTCCTACCACCTCCTCTTTCATTCCTATCACACACCCCATTCATCATAACTATTTTAACAGTAACCCTCTACACTACAATCTTAACCTCTTCATGTCAAGGGTCAATCGTTATCTATCCTCCTTATCCTCATAATCTTCACTTCCTACCACCTCCTCTTTCATTCCTATCACACACCTCATTCATCATAACTATTTTAACAGTAACCTCAATCTTAACTTCTTCATGTCAAGGGTTTTATTATCCTCCTTATCCTGATAACACTTCCTACCACCTCCTCTTTCATTCCTATCACACACCCTCATTCATCATAACCATTTTAACAGTAACCTCTACACTATAATCTTAACCTCTTCAAGTCAAGTGTCAATCATTATCTATCCTCCTTATCCTCATAATCTTCACTTCCTACCACCACCTCTTTCATTCCTATCACACACCTCATTCATCATAACCATTTTAACAGTAACCTCTACACTACAATCTTTACCTCTTCATGTCAAGGGTCAATCATTATCTATCCTCCTTATCCTCATAATCTTCACTTCCTACCACCTCCTCTTTCATTCCTATCACACACCTCATTCATCATAACCATTTTAACAGTAACCTCTACACTATAATCTTAACCTGTTCAAGTCAAGTGTCAATCGTTATCTATCCTCCTTATCCTCATAATCTTCACTTCCTACCACCACCTCTTTCATTCCTATCACACACCTCATTCATCATAACCATTTTAACAGTAACCTCTACACTACAATCTTTACCTCTTCATGTCAAGGGTCAATCGTTATCTATCCTCCTTATCCTCATAATCTTCACTTCCTACCACCTCCTCTTTCATTCCTATCACACACCTCATTCATCATAACCATTTTAACAGTAACCTCTACACTATAATCTTAACCTCTTCAAGTCAAGTGTCAATCATTATCTATCCTCCTTATCCTCATAATCTTCACTTCCTACCACCACCTCTTTCATTCCTATCACACACCTCATTCATCATAACCATTTTAACAGTAACCTCTACACTACAATCTTTACCTCTTCATGTCAAGGGTCAATCGTTATCTATCCTCCTTATCCTCATAATCTTCACTTCCTACCACCTCCTCTTTCATTCCATCACCTCCTCATTCATCATTATTTTAACAGTAACCCTCACACTACAATCCTTCTTCATGTCAGGGTCAATCATTATCTATCCTCCTTTCCTCATGATCTTCAGTACCACCTCCCTCTTTCATTCCTATCACACACCACATTCATCATAACCATTTTAACAGTAACCCTCTGCACTACAATTTAACCTCTTCAAGACAAGGGTCAATCATTATCTATCCTCCTTATCCTCATAATCTTCACTTCCTACCACCTCCTCTTTCATTCCTATCACACACCCCATTCATCATAACCATTTTAACAGTAACCTCTACACTACAATCTTTACCTCTTCATGTCAAGGGTCAATTGTTATCTATCCTCCTTATCCTCATAATCTTCACTTCCTACCACCACCTCTTTCATTCCTATCACACACCTCATTCATCATAACCATTTTAACAGTAACCCTCTGCACTACAATCTTAACCTCTTCAAGACAAGGGTCAATCATTATCTATCCTCCTTATCCTCATAATCTTCACTTCCTACCACCTCCTCTTTCATTCCTATCACACACCCCATTCATCATAACTATTTTAACAGTAACACTCTACACTACAATCTTAACTTCTTCATGTCAAGGGTCAATCATTATCTATCCTCCTTATCCTGATAATCTTCACTTCCTACCACCTCCTCTTTCATTCCTATCACACACCTCATTCATCATAACCATTTTAACAGTAACCTCTACACTACAATCTTTACCTCTTCATGTCAAGGGTCAATCATTATCTATCCTCCTTATCCTCATGATCTTCACTTCCTACCACCTCCTCTTTCATTCCTATCACACATCCCATTCATCATAGCCACTTTAACAGTAACCCTCTGAGTGGCTCTCAAGATCAGGATAAAACTATCTCCACTAGCAAAATGTTCTACAAGATGATTTTGCTAATCAGCACTCTACAGAAAATCCCACAAGCAAACTACTACACTTACTTTTGCTTTGTCTGGCATAAGGCTGCAATAGGAGGAGCACCCAGTGAGGATAAAACATACAACCCTAGAAAATGTTAGTAACATGAGTTGGTTAAAATGACTAGTGCCCCATAAAATTAATTTACTAAGTTTAGAGTAATCTGGTATAAGGCCAAAGTGTGAAAAAGGTAAAGTTAAAAATATAAGCTTATAACAAGACAAAAAGGGTTAAAGAATAGAATGATAGACTGAGTAAAAGAAGTGAGATTTAATTTTAAAAGTCCATTTGTTTAAGCAGAGATGGCTTGAAAGAAGTAACTTTGTTGGAAAGATATTCCCGCAGCGGCCAGGTGGTAAGACTGGGCTGACAGTCGACAGATGACACTGCCCTAAAGTGGAAATTATGAAAACAGCACCTAGGAATTAGCTAGGGATTGAAATTGAAAAACTGATTTATTTTGCCTATCAAAATTTGGAAATTGTAAACCAGTCGATGAAATTGAATTTCTTTATGTAAAAGACCCACCCCATGGTTTTTAAAGTGCGATGACCCTAACAAGATAGAGATAAACGATCAGAGAAAACAGCTGGTAAATTTCTGATCATATAAAACAGGTTGTGAAAAATTGCTGATGAGAAATTAAAATGATAATTCTAAGTAATGACCATAAACTAAGCTACACCACATGGTTTGAGAATTGGGTTTGTCAAAGAGACAGCCGAAGTAATGGGCTCAGATGAGATACTAAGAGAGAGGGAGTAAGGAGAAATTACCTCTGCCCATTTGGAAGTGTTGGTATGGGACATATAAGAGAAAGGAGGAGTTATTGAGGCAAAATACCCTGTGACCGGTACCCATAAGAAAAAGGATCTCTCCAAATTTTGAGACATAATCAATTTTCAAGAGCCAAATAAGAGTCTCTTGTTGTATGATAGGGGGAAACACTGGGTCCCGTAACCACATCGACACCCTCCCCCCATGCCAGTTTTGGGTGAATCTCAATATAAACAGAACATCGTAGAGATCAAGCTAGTAGTTCCAGAGATGCCAGTTTTGGCATGCAGATAACAAGTGACAGCAACTCTGCCAGATCCTACATAACTTGCTGCCAGAGAGAACCTCCGACTTAAGCTTTGTTCCTAACATAGTTAAATTGAGTAAAGTGTCATAATAGAATTCATGGTGAGAAGGGTTAATATTTCTGTACAAAGAATGATATAAATCACATAGAATTAGACCCTTTAAGAAACTCCTCTCTTTTCTTTATTTTGTCTGCAAGAACATTCTTTTATTTTTCTTTTGTGACATAGCTTCGCCGAGATCGGGTTACAATTGCTGACAACAATTTGATCTTTGACAACTCTGTGATCAATCAACACGTGGGACAGAGCAAAGCACAGATCAGAACAACCAACTCCAACGGACGACAGCAGCAACATTGACCAAGGACTGACTGGCAAGAAGTGTTACAAAAGTAGTAGAGCTCTTAGCTAAAATCAGACTCACTACATACACAAAATGGTCTGTGACACTAGCTTATTAACCATTACACTCCTTTCCTCAAAACCAATTTCATCAGTCTGTTAAAAAAAGATACTCAAAATGTTACTCTTACCTGTTGTCTTCATGAATGTTTTCACTTTTTCAATGAATTTAGTAAATCCAATGTCATCAATACAAGCTCCTGTTTTTTTGATAAACCTAAAAAATAAATATTGAATAGTTAAGTCTGACACAAGGCCTTACGTTTAGAGCAAATTGAAATTGTAGTAATAAACTTCTCAGGCAGTTTGCTGATGATGACATCACAATGAAATAGCCAATAATCATTTACAAAGCATAGCTTAGTTTGCCATAAGGCCACAAGTTTAGAGCACTCAAATCGAAATTCAATACAGTAGTAATCTAGTAGATATATGTTTGGTGTCATGGCTAATGGCATAGAAAATGAAATTAGGAGACAGACTTCATATTCTGGCCAAGGTTACTGGGTTCAATTCACACTAATGCTTTACTTAACCTGCTAACAGGTAAAATAAGCACATATTAAAGTAAAAGGAAATTGGGGACAGCCATAACCATCTATGTCTGGAACAACTATGGGATTGAAGGAAAAAGTAATGGTACAATAGTCAGAGAGTTTGCTGATCTCTAGTCCAAAAGGAGACAGTCAATAAGAATTTATTAAAATTAGCTTTGTCTGGCACAAGGTCATGAGCATATATTGCTACAACCCGCACATAACCTACCCAGTCTACTTTGCAGAGCAGGAGGAGGAGGAGAATGAATTCATGCCTTTAGCAAGGGAATTTGCATGAAAGTGAATGCAACAGATAAGGTTAGAATTTGACCTTGGGTCACCATTTCCCAGTTTACATGCTGACAACTGCTATATATTAAAAATAACTTTTTAACCATTTATTATAAATACTTCTATATTTAGCATCAAGGTAATTTGTTATCTTCAGTCAATACTTTCACTGCTACATTACTATAGCATTTTTACCTGGATGTATTGACCCATTTTGGAAAAATAGGAAATTGCTGGAAATAACAATAAAGACACAGACAACAATTTCTTATGGGCACCATCATTTTGGTTTTAATCTGATGTCCTGCAGAACAGACTAAGCTAAACACAACTCAACACACAATATAATATAAGTGTGTCACAAGACAGGTTGTAGTGTATACTGCTATATGTCTACACAGGATTGGAAACAGCACTAAACACTAGTTAGTCCCTAGAATCTGTGTTATAAACTAACAAAACAGATGGTATTGTATGCTACTATATGTCTACACAGGATTGGAAACAGCACTAAACACTAGTTAGTCCCTAGAATCTGTGTTATAAACTAACAAAACAGATGGTATTGTATGCTACTATATGTCTACACAGGATTGGAAATAGTATTAAATAATAATTTCAGGCTATTATTTTTTAGTGGCAGATTATTTTGGCTCAGACCTTTTGAGGCTGATCTTTGAGGTCAGGTGATAGACAAAATAGGGATGTCAATTTGATTGACTGATCCAAACTGATTTCAACAATAAACTTTGTCACTTTCTTAATCCTTCTGTAAAATGTCTTGTTAATACATTTATGCATCCGTCTGCCAAATGTTAATACATTTATTAATTTTTGTTTGTTTAAATTCCATGTTTTGTTTCACTTTTTACTTTTCATATCCGGACTTGAATCCATCTGCCAAATGTTGTTAATACATCTGTCTATATTTCTGATACGAGATATTATGTACACTATTTAGATTATTTGGACTATTGTCCTCATCTTTGTTGCCATATTTATTACAACATTTCAGCTGTTGTATGCTCTAGCCTTCTTCAGGTGGTTGGAATGTCGAACTGAACCCTTTATTTCACTCACTGGGGTAGACTGTTCTAGTTCCATATGCTATGTTTAATGGATGTCAGTTATCAGTTATCTCCTGTTAATTCACCTCTCCAAGTCCTCCACTGCCTTAAACAGGTATTGAACTCACACTCCTTGGGTTCTGTCACTAGATCTAACTAACACCTTTATCCACTGTGCCATGTGTCCTTGAAGAATAATGTAAATAGTGTTGTTATTACATTTATTCATTTTGGTTTGTTTAAATTCCATGTTTTGCATCATTTTTTTTCTTTTCATACCTAGACTTGCATCCATCTGCCAAATGTTGTTAGCAGAACAAATAACACCAGGAATCATAAAGTGATAATGCTTTTTACATTAGTCTGACTATTGTCCTCATCTTTGTCACCATATTTGTCACGACATTTCGGCTGTGGAACAGTCTACCCCAGTAATCGAAATAAAGGGTTCAGTTCGAAATTCCAACCACCTGAAGAAGGCCGGAGCGTACAACGGCCAAAACGTTGTGACAAATATGGCGACAAAGATGAGGACAATAGTCCGACTAATGTAAATACTGTACATAATACCTCATCTCAGAAATATAGACAGACTCTGATAATGCTTTCTATTCAACAACAAAAGTGGTGCCCCCACCCCCAGCATGATCTACTCTAGATATACAGGGTGTTCCGTAATGATGGGACACATTTTAAAGTACCAAATATATTTATTACATAACTGATATACAAGAGTTCAACACATTATCTAAGATTTAAATATCTTATCCTTGAGATGGTCACCAACATGAAGAGAACATGGATGAGCTTGCTCTCTCATTTCACAGACATGATGAATGTCCACCATGAGCAAAAGAGATATCAGATACCTGTAGAAAATGGCAAAATATTAGATCATGTATCAAACTCTTGTATCCCAGCATTATGGGACACACTGTATATACAAAAAGATACTTTTGAAAATGAGATGACAAGCATTCCTGGTTTATAACACAGATGCTAGGGACTAACAAAACATTATATTGTACACTAGTATATGTCTACACAGGTTTGGAAATAGTACTAAATGCTAGTTAGCTTCTAACACAAATGCTAGGGACTAACAAATCAGGTCATATTGTACACTACTATATGGTATAAAATGACAATTGGAAAAAAATCTTAGATTTTGCCGCCACATTTCGTCTTCCAACTTTTTCAAGGCAAAAATGAAATTTAAATGTTTTTGTTGTTATAGTTACATTAAAAAATCCAAATTTAAAAAGATAGATGCTTCTGTCTAAGCCTTTTTTTCTGGTTAATGTAAATTACCTTTATAGTAAGGGATTTTTTTTCCACGTCGATAATATAGTTAAATTCCCAGATCATGTCTACTATATGTCTGCACTAGATTCGAAATAGCACTAAGCACAAGTTAGTTTATAACACAAACACTTACAGGCATATCGCATTGAAACACCAGTTCTGGTACAATCACCAAAGTTAAGCAATGTCGATCCTGGTCAGTAAATAGAAGGTTAACTGATTAGGAATACCAGGTGCTATGTTTGGATATGCAAGTGGTTTAATGGATAACAGTTCAAAATGAAAATCAAAAGAGCAAGTTCAATATATATATATATATATAAAATATATATATATATATATATATATATATATATATATAAAATATATATATATATATAAATATATATATATATATATATATAATATATATATATATATATATAATATATATATATATATATAAAATATATATATATATATATAAAATATATATATATATATATATAAAAATATATATATATATATATATATATATATATATATATATAAATATATATATATATATATATATAAAATATATATATATATATATATAAAATATATATATATATATATATATAAATATATATATATATATAAAATATATATATATATATATATATATATATATATATATATATATATATATATATATATATATATATATATATATATATATATATATATATATATATATATATATATATATATATATATAAAATATATATTATATATTTACACAAATTATATTGGAATTGGTATGAATCCACCTCTTCTCCCCACTGGCTATGAGTTAAATAAGAGGACTTTTTATCAGAAAAAACATTATTATCTCTCAAAAGAAAAGTTTCCAATCAAAAAATATTTTTTGACTTTAAATAACCTGAAAAAGGTTGATAAACCGTAAAAAAAATCAATCAGGAGTTATGATTATGAAGTCAGATACCTCCAAAAGGCTGGAAACATTCCGAGTGCAACAATCAAAATGAGCATGCTGGTGCAAATAGCAAAGAACATAAAAATTTACTTTGATTGACGGGTTTGTTTTTTATGGCTTATCAACCTTTTTGCAGGTTATTAAATGACAGAAAATATTTTTGGATCATAAGAATTTTTTGCAGAGAGATAATAATGATTTACCAATACAAGTCCTACTAATTAACCCATAACTGGTGGGAGAAAAGGTGGATTCATACCTTTCCCAAGGGTATTTGGGTATAAATATGTGAATATAATGAACCTGACTGGAATTGGAACTCAGCTCACCAAATTCCAATTCTGAATCATTATCCATTACACTACCTGCATAGCCAAGTGTATGGTACCTGGTATTCCCAAGCAGCTATCTAGGTACTGACCAGGCTCAACATTGCTCAACTTCAGTGATCATACAAGAAACAGTGTTTCTACATTATAGGGCCACAAGCCCAAATATTGTTTTGAGGAATCTACAAAATTTCAGTTTTAAATATAAGGCATAGGATTTTGGTTAGAATATAAATTACAGTGCTGTTCGATAAAAGTGACACCTGATATTTTTTACTAAAAATATTTTTTGTCGAGTGTTTTGGGGGTTAAAATAATTTTTAATCTTACTAATATAAAGACCCCTTTCCAGACCACCTAGGAAAAGAGTTTATTCACCCTAAGATATTCCATTGATAATTATAAATTTGGATATAAATGAGATTCAGAAAAAACTCTGTGCAAAAAAAGTGACTCAGATATCGCATTCTAATGATTAAACTGGTAAATTTAAAGAGCTTTTGAAAATATTGAAAACTATTTTACAATACACTCAGAACAATATTCTAGAGAATTCTAGAACAGCTTAAATTAAATCTAGAGTATTCCAGAAAGCCTCATACAGTATAAAAACAGCTTGAAATAGCCACTCAAGTCACTAACCAGATGAAAGGGTACAAACACACATCAGAACCACTTAAGGCATATATTATTGTCCTCTCAAAAGCAGGCAAGTCTATGAGAGAAATGACAGAAATTGCTATAATCTCACAATCAACTGTCTCTCAAGTGCTTAGGGCACATAATGATGCCACTTCTGCTCCAAGGAAGGAAACAATGGGACGAAAGAAAAAGATTGATGATAGAACTGGCAGGGTAATCAAGAGAGAAGTTGCAAAGAATAGGACTATAACTAGCCAAGAAATTGCAGCCAGTCTAAGAGCAAGGTGTTAGTCTTGCCTCTTCAACAGTCCATCAGAACAAGATTACAAATCTTGTTAGAACAAGGCTACAAATCTTGTACACAAAGGTTTAAGCTGCTAATAAGCAAAGCCAACAAAGCCAAGAGACTTGAATGGGCTCACTATTACAAAAGTTTCACCATAAAAGACTGGAAGAATTCTCTCTTCTCTGTTGAAACGAAAGTTGAGCTAAATTCAAAGGATAAGGTGAGTCACGTTTATCAAACAGTACTGTATATTACAAATGACTTTTAAAATGAAAACACACTGCAGATGATTTTCATTATAAGAATACATTACAATTCTCATTATAAAAAAGCACTGCTAATATTTTTTCTTATGAAAATGAACTGCCAAGGATTATTACAATGAAAAAAGCTTTGCTAGTGATTTTTAAATTGTATATGCATTGGCCAATGAAAAATACATAGCCGAATAATTTTTTTTTACAATAAAATGCATTGGCCAATGGTTTTTACTCTGAAAGTGCATTGGCCAATGATTTTTACTCTGAAAATACATTGGGAATTTTAGCAGCACTTTTTTCTATATTTTTACAACGTTTCTATCAAAGAACAAAATACTGCCTAAGAAACTTACTGTTTAGCAACATGATAAGATTCTGGATGTATCCATGTTCGATCCAGTGGATTTATGGAACTGTTGACTGCCAATTTCACCTTCTTACTTTTAGATGAACCTTCACTCTGGCTGGCTTTTCTTTTACTTCCAACTTTAGGCAAATTGCTATCTTTGTCATCCTGTGTATCTTCATTGCTTAGAAAGAAAACAGATGATTCATTACAAAAACAAACATCATTTGCGGCTCCATGAAATTCAACAAAGGAAATACATAAAAGAATAATCTCATCTCAGAATACAACAAAAGCAATATCAAAAAAAATAATTTTGAAGAGTCATTAACATTCCAAAAATTGTTAGGGCAGCTCATTCTTTTTTTTTAATATGCCTAAAGATTTAGTTATTTTTTAATACTACTCTGTAATTCTACCTTGATTATATAAGAGGGCAAACATTTGGCCATCCCTATTGACTCAGAAGATAATTCAGCAAATCCTTTCCTAAATCTTGTTAGTATGCACATATGCAACTCAACTTGTAACTTGATTCCTGAAAGAAACATGTTCCCCATAAATATAGGGACCCACTACAAAACAACCAGAGAGTCTGCCAGAAAGTGGTAGAGAGAGTAGTTCACAGAGAGCAAAGAAGACGGACACTAAAGGCAAAAAGATTGGGGCCACTCTGCATTTCTTTAAAAAAAACACCTTAAAATTAAATATTTTTGTATTTTTTTAAATAAAAGATAAAAGTTCCATAATTACAGTTTATTTGCTTTTATTTTGACAAAAAAAATAAGCACTTAACTATTAAAAATTAGCATGCAACAGCATCATATTTTGTTTTTGTTAATAAAACCACCACCTGCCTTAACTACAGCTTTACAAATTCCTGGCATTCTTTCCAACAGTTTTTGAAAAAAAGTAGCTGACTGACCTTCCCAAGCAATCTTCAAGCACTGAAAAAGCTCACTCTCACTCTTTGGGTATTCTCTTCAAACTGTCCTATCCGACAGTTAATGTGTTAAAATTAAAATCTTTTGTAGATTTCTTTTTTTTAAATCTCATTCATTTGATCCTGAATAATTTCATAATCTTCTTTGCTGCTTTATTCCATGCTGTATTGTTGACTACCTAGTTGTAAGTTTTCAACCTAACCAAGAAAGAATTCTCCCAAAATTTTAATATTTGGTTAGATTTGGGAGTGGAGTTGTACAAAAGGCACTGCAAGCAAAAAATAATTTTTTTTTTTTTTATATTATTGAAGATTATTTCTGTCTGAATCAAAATGAGTAATAACGGAGCAGTACTGAATAAAATAAGAACTAGACGAGATATCCCTAGACATGGGCAGTAGAACGAAAACAATCTACCCCCATCAGAAGATTTCCCTGTAGGTTACACCTGATGAAGGCCAAACAGCTGAAACATTATGACAGCAACAATGACGAGGACAATAGTCCAAATGTAAATAGTGTAAATACTGAAGATTAATCATTCCAAATCATGAATATAAAAAAAATGTATTAAATTTTATAATAGTTAATAGGGGAATCAGTTTTCTATGTAAATTCATTGTTAATTGATACCCTTATTGTTATGGGACCTTACCCATAATAACATAATGGACTATTCCATACATAATAAATACTGCGTCTCAAGAGGAAGCAGGAAGTTCAGTCTAAAGTCTGGAGTGAGGTCCGTCAGGAGTCTGTCAGTCAGTCAGAGCGAGCGAGTCAGTCGAGTCAGAGGCAGGCCGAACAGAGTCGCGTTCAGACAATTACTACAAGACATTGGAATAGTGATATTAGTCGAGACTACATTGTTCTCCCTACTAAACCTGATTGTTCATACTAACACTTTCTACTTCTCTGTATATATTCCTGTTTGTAATATATCTGTGTTATTCCATATACGTGTTTGAGTTCTTCTTTATTGGTTCTACCTTGGACTATCACCATGGTACAAGGAACCGGACCATAACACTTATGGAATCTGTTATATAGGTAATTGCGGTTAAAGAATGTGGTTAGTATCAGAAGACTGAATAGTGAGAGAGATGAAAAGACAAGCAGGATATTTTATTAGACTCTATAATATATTCACTTATATGCTAATACTCTTGGGAAAGGTATTAATCCTCTTCTTCTCCTGCTAGCTATGGGTAAATAGCAGGACAGACAAGGTTCTATAGCCTTGGATGCCAACTGGTCTACTGCAAAAAGTAATGGCAACCTACTGTGGGGAAAAAATCTGCCTCATCAGTCATGTATCAAAAGATATATGATCGTCTAAGTGTGTATCACGCATGGCACATAACTGACTGTCATGCTAATACCCTTCGAAAAGGTAGGAATCCTCTTCTTCTCCCAATAGCTATAGGTAAATAGCAGGACAGACCAGGTTCTATAGCCTTGGATGGGAACTGGTCTACTGCAGAAAGTAATGGCAACCTACTGCGGGGAAAAAAATCTGCCTCATCAATCATGTATCGAAAGATACATGATCGCCTAAGCATGTATCACACATGGTACATAACTGACTGAATACAAATGTGTTACCCAATCACAGGAGAGTTCCACACTTTGAGCTTCTATCAAAGGGAGATCAAAGGGAGATAAGGGGAGGTAATATTCAGATTACATTGGTAGTGATGATGGAGCACATATAACAGAAGCCAAAACAAAATATGTCCATACCATGTGATTTCTTAAAATATGAAAAAATAAACTAAAAAAAATTTGAATTTTGTAAGCTAGATTTCTTTCTTTTTTCATATATTCCTGTTGATCAAGATCTCCAGATTATGAATTTCAAACTGCACCCAACCTCCACCTATTATTTGTTTTTAAAAGAATTTGACATTCATAATCAGGTGTGTTTAACATATATAAAAATAAAATTGAAAAAAAAATATCTCTGGCCACAGTGCCCATTTTATAACCCTACTGATTTTTGGTAATAGGATGAACCAAGAACGTTTTAGCAAACCAATGTAGCTACACTACTCTAAAATGACTCCATTTCTTTTTTACAGATTTCTGACAAGTTACATTTCATGGAACTAAATTTGACTTCATTTGATTGGTTCAGTATATCAACTCTTTATGGGACATTTAATGCCAAAACTTAATTTTCTTGGGGGCTTTGGTAATTTTTTTTTCAAAAATGAATTTGCTGGTAATATTTTTACTATAAAAATGTATTTTTATATTTTCATAGATTTAACCCCAGTTTGGAGGTTCACTACTTGACCATAACTGGGACCCTAACAGGTGCTACAACTCTGAGTTGGCGGGGACCTGGGAACAGTAGTAATTAAGAGTTGGTTCCATTGCCCCTCAAAACCCCCTGATCAGAGCTCTTGCTGCCGGATGTAGTTTATCATCATACCCAGGATAGGATTTTATTTAATGAGAATCAGGTATGTGTGATATTGTAATTTTCAATTGGCATGTAATTAAAAAAAGGACATTAATATCAATCAATCTACGTTATGCTCTTGATTATCCATCATACTCAATAGAAACAGGTTTATTTAAAACTGTTGCTTTTTTGGTTTTTCCTAGTTTCAGAATAAAACTCACCTGTCGTGAAGGCCAGACACAACACGAATGAACCCAGCACATTGGTCAAATGTCTTTTGTCCAAGACCTTTAATCAACTTGAGTTGTTCGCGGTTGTTGAATTTTCCTTGTTGGTTCCGCCAAGCAACTATGTTCTTGGCTTGTGTTGCATTTAAACCAGCAACTTTTCTGTAAAAAAAAAAAAAAAAAAAGTAGACACATTATTGTCTACATATATTCAATCATTTTGAAAAGAGTTATCATTTCAACAGTTCTGAATACTGATCTCATTCTTTTTGTTTAAGATACCTTCTATCATTTTGAGAAGAATCATTATCATTCCAAGAGTTATTCAGAATATTGATCTCATTCTTTTTGTTTAAGATACCTTCTATCATTTTGAGAAGCATCATTATCATTGCAAGAGTTGCTCACACTACTGATTGCATTCTTTGTGCAGCAGATATTTTGAAAATGTGCAAAGTTATCCATGACATAATCAGTTTCATTTAAAATAATACAATTCATTATTTTGAATATTTAAAAAATATTTTTTTCATCTATAAATGTTAGAATATGATCTTAGGCCTCATATAAATACTCGGCTCTCTAACCTTGGGTGGCAGCCAGTCTAGGAGAAAGATAAATCTGAATTTATAACTATAGAGAAAGCAATGAGAAACCACTCCACTCATGACAAAAGAAAACAATGCAAAAGAATCTGGAAACACTGAATGGACATAGCATTAAAAAAAGGGGGAAAATAAGCAAGCAGTATGAATTGGAAAACATCTCCATCAATTTTAATTTTCTTTTTTTGTTAGTTTGAGTTTCCATACAAGATAAAAATCAAATTTTTTTTGTAATTTCCTGAAAGAACTTACCGCAGAAGATGTTCACTGCTTGTGTTCAGATCAACACCAACAAAACTGACACACTCTCCAACAATAGAATCTAAAGCTTCTTTCAGTTTGCTCTCTGAAACATCATGCTGAAAATGAAAATTAAAGAATAATAAAAGCCTTAGAATGGGCATCTAGGCCACTTATTCTTGTTACTCACATCAGAGTTTTTACATGTTTGTCTAAAGTAATTCTGGCAAAAGGCTATGTTTATGGAGCACTTGGAGAGGTTTGACTGATTAACTTATTTTTTATATTTTATTAAATCATTTCACCCCAAGCTAGGCAACAAAGCCACAAAGATTCAAGAGATTACTGAGTGTTAGAGAATAGGAGAAAAATATACTATTCAGCAGAGAAGACAATAAAAGAAAAAGAAGACAGAAGATAATGATTGACTTTATATTCAAATTTTGAAGATCAAAGTTGACAAGGAAGCAAGAAGCCAGAAGAGAGTTCCACAAGCAAGAAGTGTCATAGAAGAAACTGTTAGCATAGAACTTACAGTTGCATCTAGCCATTTCAAGTGTAAAACCTTGCCACCAATCTAGTAACATGCTTAAATACATAAAGTCTAGGTTGTACAATAGAGGAAACTTCATCAGAACAATTATCATGAAAGTATTTATAGAAAAGGCAGAGGGAAGCTACTTTATGGTGGTGTGAAAAGTGACTGAAGCCGAGATGCCAGGTCAAGACAAATAACATTGCAGATTCTTCTTTGGATTTTATCAAGAATCTCAAAATAGATAGCAGAAGCACCAGACAAGACCAGACCAGATGTGGCAGCAATATTCAATGCATAGATGAATGGTAGACTGTAAAAACCTATTGGCATTCAACCCACCCAATTCCACCCCATAAATGTCAGCTCCCAATGTTCAACCATAACCATGTATACTCTGTTATGATATATGATGACATCATTGCATATAACACAGGAAGTACACAAACAGTAAGACTCAGACCACAAACAGCAAGGCTTTGAGAGCTGATATGTATGGCGCAAGTTTGAGCATGTTAAATGCTAAAGGGTTAAAGCCAGAAAACATTTTTAGATTGTAAGAATTTCTTTAGAGATAACAATGATTTACACATCCCATTAATTAACCCATAGCTGGGGGAGAAGAGGTGGATTCATACCTTTCCCAAGTGAATATAACGAACTTGACTGGAATTGGATCTTGACACTCAGATTACCAATTCCAAGTTGTTATCCCTTACAGTGGCTGCACATCTGAGATTACAGCATCTGGTATTCCCAAGCAGTCTCTCATCTAAATACTGACCAGGTTCAATGTTGCTTAACCTCAGTGATCATACCAGAACAAATATTTCAACATGATATAGCTATAAGCCTATTATACCACCCACACATTCAAGCCTACAGCAACTGGTATTCCTAGTTACCCATTTAGGTACTGACCAGGCTCAACATTGCTTAATTTCAGTGATTGTATGAGAACCAATGTTTCAATGTGATATGACCGTAAGTACACTTAGCAAAGATTGACTACATATTTAAGAATATATGAGATTTTTAACAACAATGATGAAGATATTTGTCTATATCTCTGAGATGAGGTATTATGATTACTTACATTATTCGGACTATTATCCTCTTCATTGCTATATTCACAACGTTTCAGTTGTAGTATGCTTCGGCCTTCTTCAGGTGATTGGAATTTCAAACCAAACCCTTTATTTCGTCCAATGGGTAGACTGGTCTAGGTCCATGTGCCAGACCTCTTCCGAATGTCTCAGTTATTTCCCTTTAACTCAACTCTCCAAATTTGGTTCATTACTACTGTGGCCTGGTATTGAACTCACAACTCTGTGGGTCTAGTCACTGGATCCAACCAAGGTCTTTATCCCCTAGGTCATGTGTACTTGAGGAAGGAACGAAAACTTGGAGAGTTGAGTTAAAGGGAAATAACTGAGGCATCTGGAAGAGGCATGGCAGGTGGAACTAAGAACAATCTACCCCAGTGGATGAAATAAAGGATTTGGTTTGAAATTCCAATCACCTGAACAAGGCAGAAGCATACAACAGCCATAACGTTGTGAATATAGCAATGAAGATGAGGATAACAGTCCAAATAATGTAAATAATGTAAGTGATGAAGATATTATTTTGAACGTGTTGTATAGGAGTAAAGTATTGTTGCCAACACTGTAGTTTGAACACAGATCACTAGTGAGCAAACACAGACGATTCCATTATTACATAAGTAGATCACGTGATCGTAAAGGAAATATATAAATGGGAATTAGTGTGACATCTAAGCAGTCACTACTCTCTTTACTTTCTACTATTTCTCTATACGAATTACTATTTGGCGATTACCATTTGAACAAGTATTATTGGTGCCAGTATTATTGAAGACATTACTACTACCAGTATCTGCGTTTACAAAGTCTCGTCTACAACAAGCATTTTGGAAATGATAATGAGCATTCGCTGACCTAACGAAATTACAAGTAAGCATCTAACATCACAAAAGGATGTAAATAAGTGCTTATAAAATAATAAAACCAAAATTCTAAAATTACTATAATCATTCTTATCCTAAATTCTGATGAGTGAGAAATCACGACTCTCAGAGTTGACTACTGATAAGGAATGTGAGCTTTATTATTATTTGTTTCAATACATAACACCACATCCTAGAAATCCAAAAACAAACTCAAAAATCATTTATTTTACACAACAAATATTTACAAAATAATCACTTTCCTTGAGAATTCACTGAGCATAGTGCTTGTTTATTTATCTAAAAGATTCAACATTATACACTGAAAGTCTAAAAAGACGGAACATTATGCACTGAAAATTTACAAAGACTGAACATTTAATATCAAAATTCAGGTAATAACTAACTTATTTCAATACTTCCATAATTATCAGTTACCTGGTACATTCCAACGCCAATGTGCTTGGGTTCAATCTTCACTAATTCTGCAAGTGGATCTTGGAGACGACGAGCAATAGAAACTGAAAGAACAAGAAAAAATCTTAGCATCTATACATGTGCTAATGTCTGTCTGTGTATATTAGTGGCAAATGGTCCTTATATGCAGAGTATGCAATGCTTGCCTTAGGTTTTCCACGATAAATCATTTTTGTATAACAAAATAATAATTATTGATAATTTTTCCTTGCACTTTTTTTAAAGCTCCCAATTCATCATTTCTTGGAATAAACTGTGAACAGGCAACATTAGTAGAATTGTGTAAGCAGAGAAGGCCCCTGTTTCCCACACAGAGAGCATAGAAGAACCGAGTGAAAGAAGGCAGAGTGATAAAGATTGAGTTAGTGAGAAAAGATGTAAGAAAAAACAGATGAGTAAACTGCTTCTTTCTTTTAGAGAAGAAGATGGTTTAGTGTTGTGTTGATGCTTTTTACAACAAAGGATATCAATGAATTTGCCAAGAAAGAAAAGAATGGAATTAATTTACAAATAAAAAGTTTTAAATACAAAATTATGTTTATTTTCTTATTTTCTCAGCTTTCTCACTTAACCCATTAACAATTACCAGGGACTGCATATCTTAATTCTATAGTCACCCTTCAACAATAAGATATATATATATATATATAAAAAACCAAATGTATGTGTGTGTGTGCGTATATATATAACCAAATGTGTGTGTGTGTGTGTGTGTATATATATATATATATATATATATATATATATACACACACACACAGGTGAAATGAGAACAAATGGAGTATAAATGGCTAGCATTATGTTAAATTACCTCCCTATCTCTTTTGCTTCTTGGAAAGTTTGAGCAACAGACTTTGATGCATCTTACAAAATAATGTAACAATTTGTAACTGCCTATAAAGAAAGTGTCTAGGTTTTATATGCAGACAACTTTGTGTCATGGACCATATTAAAATATTTTTTTTGTATTGAATTTAGTGTAGGTCACATTTGATTGGTTAATCAAAGCAAAGCCCACAAGTCTATTTTTTTAATGTATTCTGCTTTTTAAAATTACATTAACCTTTCACTAGTCAGTAGTTTAACATTGCCTGAAGACACACAATTATGGTGTTGAAACATAATTGTAATTGTGTAGAGATTATTAACATTTTTAATATCCTAAAATAAATAATATATATATGTACTTGTGTGCATGTGCGTTTAAGTGAAAATTCAGATATGGCTAAAAATATGTCTGTAAAATGACAATAGAAATAAAGGCAAAAGGCAAACTTTTCTTAGTTGAAACATTTTGTTCTCTGATGGGCTTTATCATTTGCTATGACAAAATTCATCAGAGGACAAAATGCATCAGCTAAAAAAGTTGTCTATTTTTCTTTATTCACATTATATATATATATATATATATATATATATATACACACACAAACCTATCATCTACAAACCCCTATGCATGGACTTTGGATGCAACGGACAAAATCTACAGGCAAAATAAAAAAATCTTTTTGGGGGCTTCCAAATCATCAGCGATGTATTTCAAAATTTGCAGGCTTAGCAGAACGAGTCATATTAGTTCCCAAAGTGACCACTTGGTGGTGGTGACGAGCTTTTCAATTGTAAACAAAGATTGGTATACAATATATAAAGTACAATATATTAGCGTGTGCATGGGAAAGTAGCTGTGAGAAATTTATTATTTTTGTTGTTTTGATTAATCTATCTAATTTGTGCCATATATACATGTTTATAGTATTTACATTATGACTATAACTAATAAGAGTTACTATAGCATTTTTTTAACTCAAAATAATCCCTTCCCATCTATAGACAATTGAATTGAATGGACCACCCCACCCACTATTAGTCCATTGTAATATATGTATACATAATACAGAAATACAAAATTACCTCATGATTATAGACTATTTCAACTAAAGTCAATGTGTTAGCTTTATTCAACTTAAATGGTGGATATATATATATATATATACACACACACACACAATATATATATATATATATATATATATATATATATATATATATATACACACAATATATACATTGTGTATATATATATATACACACACACACACACACAAAATATATATGTGTGTGTGTATATATATATATATATATATTTACTTTATTTATTTTAGGATATTACATCAAAAACATGTCAAAATCACAACACAATTGCAGTCATGTTTCAATGCATATACAATGCATCTCATCAGGCAATTGTAAATTATTGGCGAGTGAACCATTTAATCAGATTTAAAAAGCAAAATACAGCCTCTTTTTACAAAGAAAAGAGGGGGGGCGGTTATAAGGTTTGTGAGCTTTACTTAAATCAACCAACCAACTAATGACCTACATTAAATTTAAACTAAGGGAAGAAGTAGAAATTAAGAAATTATAAATGACTCATGACCCGTAAGTTTGAAATCAATGACAGCAACAGACATTAAAGGGGAGCAGATGTGAATGGATTCATGTTGTACAGTAGATGATGTCATTACCTAAGAAAAATTAAGTGATGATCTCACAAAAAGCTAGAAAAGTTACATTCCCTTTTGATACTTGGAGTCAAAATATGGAAACAAGAAAGAGAAAGAATAATAAGAGAGTATGAAGAAACAAGAAAATTATGAAAAGAAAGAAAGAACCATGACAACACACACACACAAAGAAGAAGAAAAAAATCAACCTAATAGCAATAAAAAGTGCATAAATTATTCTAACTTAATATAAAAATTACAGAAATGAGAAAATCCACAGACAATTGCTGATACCTCCTGAGGAGTGGACTGAACGATGATATAAAGTTTCATCTATAAAACCCTGGAGTAAAAGTGCTGAATATAACATCAATCAGCTAAGTGACAAATTTTATATTTCTATTAGTCCTTATATATGTGTGTGTGTACCGCCAAAGATTCACAACAAAATGAGTAGACATGATGGAAAAATGCCTAAGACTTAATAAAAACAAAGTTTTATCATCAAAATCTTTGTTATTATTAAAAGAAAAAGACCAAACAAATTTTTTTTTCTTTTATAAAAAGTCTCTTTTTTTTTTTAACCCGTTTTAGAACATTCAAAATTTTGGTTAAAAATCTTGTTATCTTGGCACCAATGTAGTACCATGAATTAGTATGGGAAATTTGACAGTCATTTTGCCATGAGAAACACATTGATTTGGAAATTCTTGCAAAAATCAAATAATTCAGATTTTAATTAAACTTTCAGGACTTTTTCATAAATGAATGAAATTATTTTATAAATGTTTCTTTTTTTAGAAAATTTTGGTAAAAATAATTTTTTTTTGGCAACTGTTATACCTGGATTATTTAATTTTATGAAATTTCAAGAAATTCTTTTTTGTACAGCTTAATGTTTATATTAGTTATAAGGACAAGTTCTTGGATAATATAAATCATTAAAATTTTTGGTTCAACAGGACTCCCAAGTTAGAGAAAATCTGGTTTAAATCATAAAATAAAAAATGCAATAAAACTAAGATATTATTTAAAAAAGTTTTTAATTACTTTTAGAAATTAAATATATCAAATACTAATTTTGTTATAAAAAAATGTTTTTTTTCGATAAATAACAAATTTTACAAAAATTGTTTTAATTTTTTAAAATTTTAATTAGAATAATTTATAAAGTTTTGAATCCTTTAAAATTCTTTATTGATCTGTAGCAGTCAAGATACTGTTACTAAATAAAAATTGTATTTACTAATCATAAATGGCAACTCTTACTACAATTCAGTGACCCCCACTACAGGATGTTTTTTAAGAACTTTGAATTATTTTTGTGTGTGCATGTGTCGATTTTTGTAAATATGAACATCATCAGAAAATAAAAGTAGCAACTATAGAAAATTTATTGGTAATTTTTAACATTTGCTCAACAAGCATCTTTGTAAGTAAGGTTATATAACCAAAGTACCTAAAAGTAAAATAAAAGTAGCAACTATAGAAAATTTATTGGTAATTTTTAACATTTGCTCAACAAGCATCTTTGTAAGTAAGGTTATATAACCAAAGTACCTAAAAGTAAATAATATATTAGAATTCTTAAAATATTTAAAATTTTTAAGATTACTGGATAGTCAAAAAGATTATATAAAAAAGATGTTTACATTGTATTCATCAAATAATTTATTATAATTATCACCTTAAATAAATATTTCAAGCATCAAGCTGTCAATAAAAGTGTCAACACTGCATAAAAACACCCACCTCTATGTTAAAAATTGCTTTACTGCGATATTTTAAAATAAAAGCAAATATTTATTTCAATTCAGATTAATTAAACTTAAATCAACTAATTTTTCTCAAATAATGTTTCAAAAGTTTTTAATAAAGAGAATTATGTTGTGTTGACAGATTTATTAATATGGACGATTTTATCAATTTTACTGATAATCAAAAAAAAATAATTCTAATCAATTTAAATTAGCTTTGAAATACAGCAAAGTATTTTCCTTACTGGAAATATTAAATATTAAAGTCAATTGAAATTTATAAAATCACTTTTTAAAATATTTTTTCATGAAATTAAACATCTGTTTTAGCTCTAATATTGTTGAATGTAGCCAATGCATTTTTATAGTAAAAATCATTAGCCAATGGATTTTTATAGTAAAAATCATTATGTCAATAAAATTATGCTAAATGATTGCATTTAAAGTAACTTTTTTATATTGTCAATTTAAAATCAGAGATATCGAAAAAAAATAAAAATTTCTAAGAGGAGGACAGAATGAAAAGAGAGTTGCAACTTGTTCAATTTGTAGGGCTTACCAGCGCCTCGGAGACTGTGGTCCATATCAGGAAGTTCATCTTTGGCAACATTTGACACACTGTAAATCGAGGCTCCACTTTCGTCAACAATACTGAAAATTAAAAAATATAAAACATATTGAAAATTATTAAACATCATCTAGCAAATTATGAACAAAAAACGTTCTTTCCTTTTTAAACAGATATATATATATATATATATATATATATATATATATATATATATTTCATTTGTATGGATATTAGTTTGTAAGCCTGGGTTTCACGCTTTTGCAATCATCAGATCACAAAAGCATGAAACCCAGGGTTACAAACTAATATTCATAAAACTGAATATGTTAGCTTTATCACAGATATTGAGCATTTTCTACTAAGTACCACACATATGTGTATGTATGTGTGTGTGTGCGCACTATTTACATTGTTCGAACTATTGTCCTCATTTTTATTACCATATTCACGATGCTTTGGCTGTTGTACACTCTGTCCTTATTCACGTAATATTTCTTGGAATTTTAAACCAAACCCTTTATCAGTTCATGGTGTCAGAATGTTCTAATTCCACATGCCATGCCTTTGGATATTTCAGTTTCAGTTAATTATCCTTGATAGCTAAACTCCCCAAGTTTTTGTTCCTTCTGCTGTGGCCAGGTATTGAACTCACAACTCTTTGGGTCAAGTCATTTTTCGGAAAAGATAGAAAAGACGTGTGGTCCATTAAAATATCAGGAATGGTTCAACACTATACAAACATCTCTTCCAAGTAAGACTACCCATACAGAAGAATATGATTAAGGACTGTGTGTATGACATTCCGTACAACTGCGGCAAGAAATATAAAGGATCTGTGGGATGAAGTTGAAATAATAGAGAATATCACTGGGAAATATGAAAACTAAAGGAATCAGCATATATGCTATGCCACAAAAATCTCCTAAGCCGGCCAAGCATAGACAAAATTCACTCACTAATGTCCTCAAGGGTACATTGCCAAGTGGATAAGTGTGGGTTGATTGATCCAAATATATATATATATATATATATATATATATATATATTGCTGATACCCACTGAAGAGTGGACAGAGAGGTCCAATAAGAAACTCTGGAGTTGGGATGCTAATCAATCAGCTAATTGACAAACTTTTACTTATCTTAATCATATATATATATATATATATATATGGTGCAATTAAGCAGCTATTAGTCTTTTAAACATGTTTTTTTAAGCATTTCACCCCAAGCAAAGCAGGAAGCCACTAGCACGCAAGGAGTTACAGAGAGTTGGAGTGAGAACAAATAGGAGTGATAGAGGAAAGGATGAAGAGAAGGTTAGGAAATAGATCAGGGCATCTGGAGACATCGATTGACATTACATTTGAATAGTTGGAGATTATAGCTAGGGAAACAGGAAGAGGGGAGGGAGTTCCACAGGTGAGAGGTGCGAGACATGAAGGTATTGGAGTAGAAGAGACGGTTACATTTAACAGTTTCAACAGTAAACGGGCGTGAGCAAGATGCCAGCCTAGTAGAACGCTTAAATTCATGAAGTCTGGGAACCAGCAAAAGGATCTCCTCGGAACAGTTACCATGAAAAAGTTTACCAAAAAGTATAGACATGATTTTTTTAACCAACTTTTTTATTTTTATAAAATTCTAAATGATCTTTTACAAAACTACTGAATGTCTAAAATCAATATAATTGCCATGTCCAAGCTTTCACATAAGTTATCATGGGGGGGGTGAGGTAATGAATTTATGTCTTATAAACAATAAGTACAGAAGTAAAATAAGGTGAAGAAAATCATAAGTCAGATATTTAATGTATCATTATATTTTAAATTGGATTGAATAAATTCAAATTGCTAGAAGCCATTTCTGCCACTTGTCACAACAATGTGCAGCAGCCATGTGTGAGGATGCTTTTTTATATACAATGTAGAATTCTAGGGTGTAGACTATAATTATTTTTATTGATGTATGGTTTTTGTCTATATTTCTGAGATGAGGTATTATGTACACTATTTACATTATTCGGACTATTGTCCTCATCTTTGTCACAAAAAGAAATATAAAAGGGAGACAGGTTGCCCCCTTAAGCTAAGACTTCAAGAACACCAGAAAGCTGTAACACAAGTGGAAGTGGAAAAATCAGGCATGGCTGACCACATATGGAGAGAAAAGGGAAAAATCACCGCCCTCTGTGGGATCAGGTTGAGATCATAGACAAAGAACACCATTGGAAAATTCGTAAACTTAGGGAATCAGCAAATATGCTAGGCCAAAAAAATCACCTGAGCCAACCAAGCATAGAAATGGATACAATATGGGAACCAGTAATAAGGAGTGTCAGACAACAAAAATTGCAATATGAGCACTGGTAAAAAATGTGCTGAAGACATTAGGTTTATAATACCCAGGAATTCATACACAAATGTCCTCAAGGACACATGGCACAGTGGATAAAAGCGTGAGTTACAGTACCCAAAAGAGTGTGAGTTCAATACCTGGTTAAGGTGGTGGAGAACTTGGAGAGAGAGGAATTAATAGGAGATAACTGATAACAGACATTAATTAGACATGGCACATGGAACTAGAACAGTCTACCCCAGCAAGTGAAATAAAGAGTTCAGTTCAACATTCCAACCACCTAAAGAAGGCCAGAACATACAACAGCCGAAACGTAATAAATATGGCAACAAAGATAAGAACATAATGTAAATAGTGATGTATGGTTGTTTTGATCTAATGTAAATAGCTTCAATTATTTTTAGTCTATTAATTGCTATTATATTTATGTGTTATTTGTATTATATACAAATGCTACTTGACCAGACAGATGCACATGAGGTCTGCTTAACCAATGAAGAACACAAAAATTAAAAATACGAGAATCTTCTTTCCTCTTCTTTTTCTCCTCCACATTTCATTCTCTGATGACTCTTTAATAAAAGCGAAACATGTTAGATGATCTATAAACATTTCCTATTTGTTCCTTATCCAATCACTGTCGGATTCCAACCTATATTTGCTCCCAAATCATTTAAATCATTTATATGTTCTTGAATTGAGAAATCAGAGAGCAGAGTTGTTTTTTCATTAGATTAATGCAAAGAGGACAACGAAAATATATGTATCTTGTTGTATCTATGGAAAATGCTGGGGAAATGAGTTATTGATAGTTCTAGGGAGACAACTCTGAATTCAAAAGAAATCTCTGTCTATATTTCTGAGTTTGATTTAAAATTTTTACAGTTATTGCTATTGTCCTTCTTTGTCACAAATATGGTGATGAACGAATTTTTCTGGTAAATTTTTCAGGGGTTCAGAAATTTATAGAAACAAGGATCTTTTCATTCATAACGGAACGTTGGAAATTGGCAACAAAGATGAGGATATTATTTGAATTGTTACTGAAGAAGGTCGTTTGGATTTTTGGCACAATTAAATCATTAACCTGCTCATTTGTTTTCCAGTGAATAATTCATGAATATATATATATATATATATATATATATATATATATATAAAATGGACCTCTAAAGTTTGTAAATCTCAACAAAAATGTTAAAATGAACTTCAACAATAGTTTAAATACTGTGAGAATTTTTATTGTTGAAACTATTGCTAAAAATTTACATTGTATTCAAACCAAAAATTTTCCATAATTTCATAACAGATTAGGTTGAAACTGCTCAGATCCAGACTAACTGGATGGATGTTTCCCCAATCTACAAATTTTTTTATTAAAACAGTATTAACACATTAACATCTATTAATAATAAATGACCCCTTATTAACCCTATACAAAAATTTTAAACCCTAAAAATAAAAATAAAGGAAAAAAAATTCTGAAATTTGGAAAGACTAAAAAAAAGAAAAGATGAAAAAGTTTTTAAAAACCAATCAAAATAAAGAACAAAATGAACAAAAAAAGAATGATCAATGAAAGAAGTCCATTCTTTTTGAAAATTTAAAATGAATGAACAAAAATTGAAAAAAGAACAAAAACATGCAAAAATTTAAGAAAAAAAAATGAGAAAAATTAACAAAATAAAAGAGGAAAATTAACAAAGAGCTAGCTAAAAAGCTAAGAAACTGTCAATAACAAACATTTAAATTTGTCTTTTTATATTTATATATATTTATATATATATATATATATATATAAATAAAATGGACAAATGGCAATGATTTCACAACTACAAAAAAGAAAAAAAAATTTATAGAAAAGACAATAAATATGTGAGAATTTAATAATTTAGATAAAATAGTTAAAAATTTTTCCTTGTATTCAAAAAAAAAGGTTTTTTTGATAATGATTCCATAACAACATTAGGTTGAAAGTGCTCACTCAGATCCACAGTAACTGGATGGTTTGATCCCTTTCTGTCATTTTTTTTTAGTAAAATAGTCAAATGACCTACATTAACTGTTTTGCAAATTAATAAAGAATTCTGGAAATTTTGTCACGGACAAACTGTTGTTTCAAAAAATCTGAAAAAGAATCGGAAAAATAAAAAATCCATGAGAAAAAATTTGAAAAGTGAAAGACTAAAACAAAAAAAAAAAACATGAAAATAATTTTTAAAACCTTTTTTTGGAAACAAAAAGAACTTGAAAAAATGCAAACATAAAAAAGAACTTCTCATAGTCTTGATCAAATCGCCATAATTAATTCTCATATGAGTTTAAAATCGGCCCTTTTAACAACGTCCAACAAAATCAAACAAGAAAAATGAATGAACTGAAACTTTGAAAATAGAACAAAAAAAAACACAAAATCACATACAGAAAAAAAATTGACTCTGAAAAATTACCTAAAAATATAATAGTAATTTAACAAAGAATTAGCAAAAAAAGCCACTGAGTATTTTACCAATAACAAATATTATTCTGGTAGATTGACTTTTCTGGAACCTTTCTTAAGAACTTTTTTGAAACTTTATTTTCTATTTTCGAACATTTTCAGTCCCATTTCGGGATATGGCACTTGTTTTTTCATTTAATAAAAAACTCTTGTTTGAAAAGTCTTTTTTATAGAAAAGCTATCTTAATATATTTAATTTATATGGCAAGGCCAACCACATCACTGTTGTTCATTCATGCATTTTTATCTTTTTTTACTTTGTTGTAGACTCGGTAGTTTAGTTTTTCCACTGATACCAGAAATAAAAGGTTTGACCCTACCGGCCTGCAACAGTTTGATATTTTGATTTGAAAAATGGAAACCTTTTAAGAATACATGTTCATTTTACAGTGATATATGTAAAAGTAAATACTAGCTCTAAACTTGAAGGGCTCCAGAATCTTAATAATACAGGACAAATATGAATATTTGAGAAATTACAGATTGTGTTGAGAAATATTGTCAAAAATAAATGAAATCAACCACTCAAATTTCATTCATTTTTAACGAATATTCCTTTAATTGTAGTATTATTTAAATTTACTTCCTAAAGCTTTTACTTAAATCTTAGTGCTAGAATTTCTTACATGAAGCATTTCTAATTATTGATTTTTGACTAGTATTTCTTTCATCTTATTTCTCTTGCTTTTATACCAAGTAGTAATAGTCTTAAGTTGTCTGAATTTCTTAGATGAAGCCTTGTCAATTATTATTCATTTTTCACTAGTATTTCTTTCATCTTATTTCTCTTGCTTTTCCACCAAGTAGTAATAGTCTTAAGTTGTCTGAATTTCTAAAATGAAACACAACCGAGTACCTTGAAAGTTACCAAAGTTACTATTGGTTCTGCAAATATAAAAGTGACCTCTTTTAAGCAGAATCAAGTAACAGATGAAATGCAATATTAATTGTTTCCACGCAGACAGACATCAAAGTTCATTTTTGGGTTGCCAAACACGTAATATAGTTTCCTTAGTAAATTAGTGACAATTCTTTTTTGCTTTAGGTCATTTTCTCTTAGAAAATTTCCATAGAAATTCTCTAATTTTAGATATCAAGCAAATAAAAACTTTAACAATTGTTCACTATCATTAATACTTGGATGTTTAGGTGGTGTAATGAATGAATAAATATAAGGTGGAATCATTAAGTCAAGTTCAAATCTCTACCTAATCTGTTGCAGTCACTTTCACACAAATACCCCTGTGAAAAGTATAAATCAATCTCATTTGATAGATTTGATATGATTTAATGGTATATCAACTCCTTATGGGTCATTTAGTGCCAAAATTTAATTTTCTTAGGAGGACTGAAGTAATAAAAATATGATATATGTTATTCTGCTTTCACAATTGTATACATGGTAGATGATACTCAGCTTTTGTGCATATATATGTTTGTGTGGACATAATTACTAGAGGTGGCGATATATGTGTTTTATGTTGTAGTTTTGTTGGGATTATATTTTGGAATACAGTTTGATTTCTTTAAGAAATTGTAGGATATTATATGGATTAATGTTATGTTAATTTTCATGTTGGCTGATGTATTATTGGTAATTTTACTATGAATAGGTACTGTTGATAATTTTAATATAAAAATGTATTGTTGGTATTTTCATAATGTTTTTTTTCTTGTTTGGGGGTTCACTATTAGCCCATAGCTGGGACCCTAACAGGTACTACCACCCCAGGTCAGGGTGGACTTGAGAATAACAGCAATTAAAGGGTGGTTCCACACTCCTCAAAACCTCCTGATCAGAGGCCTTGCTGTTGGATGTAGTTTATCGTTTTACCCAGGATGCTGAATGGATGTCTTTTATAAAGAAAAAAGCTTGGAATAATCTAAAAGGATTCAAGTGTTAAGTAGTGCAATTATGTCATTGTCCGTCTCGAGAGATGATGGAGTAGTGCGTGCACTACGAGCCTCAGCGGGATATATGGACAACTAGGGCTGCCCAGACGTCTAGTTCCCTCTCTCGTCCTTGCTAGCAGAGTCCAAAGGAGAGGATAAACCAATACAGTTTGGTACCAGCGCGGCTGCAGAGTTGCCGAAAGGTAGCACAAAGTGCCGTCCATCCGCCTTGAGGGCTCCACTCTGGGTTTGAATTCAGAGTTGTCCTTCTCCTAGACCAGTTGCCATCCAAGGCTATAGAACCCGGTTTGTCCTGCTATTTACCCAAAGCTGGAGGGAGAAGAGGATTCACACCTTTCCCAAGGATATTAGCACATAAGTGAATGTAATGGATTTGACTGGAATTCAAACTCAGCTCTTCAATTTCTCAATCCAAGCCGCTATCCATTACTCCACCGTGCCTCCTCAGATGATTATGTACTCATTGCAAATGAGGGACATAAATCTGATGCAGTTATTTGCTTAAACGATCAGCATATTTTGGTTCTGATTGACTCTGGTGCTAGTGTTAATCTAAATGATTGGAAAACACACGAATATTTTTAAAAATATATAAATATTAAATTAAAAAAAATTATGAAAAAAAATATATTTACATATGGCTTAAAATTTCCCTTACAAATAGAAGCTTCTTTGTTTCAAATGTCTCTGTAAAATCTACATATAATGTTTCAGATGTTATGTGTTTCTTGTTCATGTAACAGTAGCAATATCCTGAGTCAGAAAACTGCCAAACAATTAAGAATCTTATCTATATTAGGAAGTTGAAAGTTAAATAATGCTAATATCCAACTTAATCATTTGATAAGGTATGAGATTCAACTGTTACAAAGCATTAAAATAAATATAAGATTAAAAATAATTAAAATCTTCATAAGGCTAAGAACAACTGTAAATGTTTATTTTTTTGCATGGAATCATTTTTTTTTTCAGTTATTTATTAGATGATAATATTAGAAGATGAAATTTTACCAGTTTTATTTTAAAAATATTAAAACAAATCATGTCAAAAGTGGAAAAATACTCTCTATATTTCTGAGATGAGGTATTATGTACACTATTTACATTATTCGGACTATTGTCCTCATCTTTATTGCCATATTTATTACAAGGTTTCAGCTGTTGTACGCTCCAGCCTTCTTCAGGTGGTTGAAATGTTGAATAAAAAGTGCCAGAGAAAAGCGATAATAACATACAATGATAACAGCAAAAAATTGCAATATGAGCACTGGTAAAAAATGGTTGCTGGGTATTATAAACACCGTTTATAAAACCCAGAAATTCATACACAGATGTCCTCAAGGACACATGGCACAGTGGATAAAGGCGTTAGTTAGATCCAGTGACAGGACCCAAAGAGTGTGAGTTCAATACCCGGTTAAGGCAGTGGAGAGGGGAATTAACATGGCACGTGGAACTAGAATAGTCTACCCCAGTGAGTGAATTAAAGGGTTCAGTTCAGCATTCCATGAAGAAGGCCAGAGTGTACAACAGCTGAAATGTTGTAATAAGATGAGGACAATAGTTCAAATCATGTAGATAGTGGAAAAATACTATAGCTTAATCAAGCCAGATAAAAATGGGATAAAAATACTTGTTTTTTAATTTCTTATTATATATATATATATATATATATATATATATATATATATATATATATATTATATATTATTTATATTAGATTTATTCCTCCTCAGAATCAAACTTATTATATTAGATTACTTATTTATATTAAATTTGTTTGGTTCCGAGGTGGAATAAATTAGAAAAAAAAAGTTCAAAATGTTTTAAATGCCATAATAATTTCACACAGGAAAGCTCAATTAAGCTCAAGTAAAAATATTAGTGAAATAAAATTAAATACAATTTTTGATGGAAATTAAGTTTTAGGTTCTCTAATAAAACTTTTGAGTAAAAAAGCTTTTTTACAGGAAACTTCAACTAAAAGTTTGTTTATTTTTTAATAAATAAAGATGAAAATCCATTTTAAAAGCTATAAAAATTTAAAGAAATACATGAATTTCGTCAAAACAAATTTAAGTTTCATAAAAAGAATGTTTACTTTTTTAAGTCTCAGTTATTGAAAAAAAGATTTTTGTTTATGTAGTATGCTACATAAACAAAAATAAATATTTTTAACAACCGAGACTAAAGAAATGATTTCATAGATTAAAACTATTATAAAAACAAATTATTGTAACTTAACTGCCTCAACACAAGGAAAATTTGTGACACAAGGTCAATTTTTTATGTGAAGAAATCAAATGTGACAGTGGCAGGAATTCCATACATCATTTTTTTTCTTTTTTATAAATTAAAACAGTAAAAATTGTCTTAAAAGAGCCCATCAGAACAACACGAATTCACTTTGTGTTTACATCACATAATTTTAATTATAATTATTAAATTAATAATTTATAATATTAAATGGGTGAATTAACAATGTTTAAAAAAAAAAAAAAATAAAAAGAATTATTTTTAATTGAAACAGACTTTAAACTAGCAAACTTTATGGAACTCCAGAACTGAGTAGAAACTTGCACATTGCATTTTTTTTTTTTTACACAAGTATTATTATGATCTACAGATTTTAGTTTTACAGATAGTTTAAAATCAATAAATATTCATATCTTTTTATCATTAGTACCAGGAATGAAAAAGCAAGTTTTAAACAAAAAAAAAAAAAAAATTCAAAGAATTGTTTATGGAATCGGAAATTAAGTTAAAAATTCTGATTCTGATGCCGATTCTGACACCCCAAAAAGTTCTGATATTTCCAATTACTGATTCTTATTAATCGTCCCATCATGAATAATTAGAGCTACAAACTCAAAAACTATTTTAAATTAGGTACCTCCAATAATTTGGTATACCTAAGGTTTAAATGAATTTTCATAAATGAAAAATCGGTCTTTAAGCATTCATTTTAGTTTTAATTGAAAGCTAAAGGATTAAATTTCTAATTCCAGAAAGCAAAATATTGTGGTGCATTTTAATTAGAAATTAGAATGATTTTAGTTGATTGATTTTTTTTCTTTCCACCAGAAATTGATGTTCACCAATATGGTCTCAGGTTTTTGTTAGGTAAAAAAAAAAAAAAAAAAGTGTGTGTGGGGGGATATTGTAGTGTATAAAAGGAGGTTACCTGCTCTTGAGGAGAAGGAAAGGAGAAATATAAAAATGTATGAGTACAAGTATAAATAGTCATAAATAATTATTAACATTGTGGTATTTCTGCATTATATCAAGTATTACGAATATAGTAATTAGGATCCACAAATTGAAGGAGAGAATTATCAATGACTATAGTAAAATTTTGCCGGGATGTAACAGTAAGAGATAGATCAAGTATCGACCATCATAAAGACTGAAAAATAAAATTGACAAAGATTATTGTTTAAGGTTGATAAACACACATGTCTTAATTAGTTTTTTTTTGTAAGATATTTTTTGTTTTTTTAGGAATTGGTCAAACCCAAACAAAAACATTACCGATTGAATAGAATTTTATCATAAACAATTGTCTTGTAAATGGAATTTTTAAAGCATTCTGAATGTAAAATAAAGAAAAAAAGTGTGCAAGACAATAAGAAACACTACCTGCCAAAAAAAAGTAAAGTTTTGTTGAAATCATCTAAAAAATGTAGGAAATCCAATCATATATATAAACGAACACATGCACACACACACACACACACACACACACACACACACAAACAATCTGGGTTTTATAATAAGTATAACTCGATATGAGTTGTCCCCCTTTCATTCTCGCGATTAATTGTGTTTTCAAATTGATTTTGTGCAAAAACAATTGTGTTTTTCCAATTTCTGGTGCTGTCAGAACCACTGCGAGGTAATTTTACATAGTCCTGTGAAGTCTTGTTGAAATCGGTTGAAAAATGTAGGAAATCTGATCCAATATATAAATGTACAGACACACACACGCGACCTGGGTTTTATAATAAGTATGATAACGTTCTGATTTCGAATCAGTGCTTATCTCCCTTTAATCTTCTCTCCCTCTCTGGACCTTCTTTGCTGTAAGGCTGCTTGCAGCTTTTCACTGGAACTTCCTTTTGGAGAGGTGCAAGCAAATTTTCATTCAAAAAATGCAACCCAAAAAAAAAAAAGTTTGGGAACTACTGCATTACAGGAACAAAAACAAAATATGCTCCTACCATATGATTTCTTCAAAATTTTAAAAATTGACAACTTTATTTTTTAAATTTATAATATGGAGACCTAAATAAATACTATTGCCTAAGTACTCCAAATTACAATATTAATTTTTTTTTTAAGAAATCACATGATATGAACACATTTTATTTTAGCTTCCATCATGTAAACAATTAGCAAAATCACAAAGAAAAAAATTGTTTACATATCTGTCTTGCATGCTTAATCTATAGTAATATGAAAAGAAATTTAAAAAAAAAAAAAAAAAAAAAAAATTTTATATGGTCACATTACTTGTTGTACAAATCCACTAATTACAATCATCCAAAGAGCATCAGTAACATTTAAAATACTTACTTGTAATTTCTCACAATATCTGAGAGTTTCTCTTCTTCAGACATTTTACTGTTTGCTTTTGAATTCAGATATAATATGTCTGTGTAAAGCACTTTGCCTGCAGAAGAAAGGATAATTTCTCGTCATACAACATGCCATGTTTTTTAAAGCCATCAAATGATAAATGACAAATAAATTTAATAAGTTGCATGGACTAATTTAAAACATGAACAAATGGTACAAAGAAAAAGTAAATACAAATGTTAATGGAAAATTAAATTTGTCATTATATATAAAATTAAATAAAAATACTTTCACAGAGTGACTTCAGGGAGAAAGTTACTAACTACCCTTTTCTGGTATGAGAGTCCAGTTAATTAACAAGGAGTAATGCTGGAGATTGAGAAAATTACAGGAGGCAGCAGATATCAAGTTTTCAGCCATGTTTTCTTTTTGCTATATGATTTTTGCAACAATAGGGCTATTATATGTATAATGGAAATGCATTGCTACTGATTTTACTATAGGAATGCATTGAAAATGAAGAAGAAAGGGATTGTCAGTGGTCAGGAATGAAGGCAAGCATTACTGATAGAATAGGGCTATTATATGTATAATGGAAATGCATTGCTAATGATTTTACTATAGGAATGCATTGAAAATGAGGAAGAAAGGGATTGTCAGTGGTCAGGAATGAAGGCAAACATTACTGATAGAATAGGGCTATTATATGTATAATGGAAATGCATTACTAATGATTTTACTATAGGAATGCATTGAAAATGAGTAAGAAAGGGATTATCAGTGGTCAGGAATGAAGGCAAGTATTACTGATAGAATAGGGCTATTGTATGCATAATGGAAATGCATTGAAAATGAGGAAGAAAGGGATTGTCAGTGGTCAGAAATGAAGGCAAGCATTACTGATAGAATAAGGATATTATATGTATAATAAAAATGCATTGTTAATGATTTTAGTGTAGGAATGCATTGAAAATGAGAACTTTAAAGAAAATGGAATTTTAGAAGATTTCTACAAAATAATTTTAGATTATAGATAAGATTTTCACAAAATAATACAGCTATTATACCTATAATCTAAATGCATTGCTAATGAATTCATTGAAAATGAGGAAGAAGGGGATTGTCAATGGTCAGGAATGAAGGCAAGCATTACTGATAGAATAGGGCTATTTAATGTATAATGGAAATGCATTGCTAATGATTTTACTATAAGAATGCATTGAAAATGAGAAAGAAAGGGATTTTTAGTGGTCAGGAATGAAGGTAAGCATTACTGATAGAATAGGGCTATTATATTTATCATGTAAATACATAGCTAATGATTTTAATATAGGAAGACATTAAAAATCAAGAAGGGATTGTCTGTGATCAGGAATTAAAGTAGGCAGGACTAACAGAATAGTTTTATATAATTTTTTATTATTTTCTGACCAAGAAAAATATTGCCAAGTCAAATGCAAAATATAACCAAAGAGGAACATTTCCATTGGAAATATGCATTTTAAGAAAAAAAACTGAAACACAAGATTTAGATAAGAACATTTAAGAAGTCAAGGAGAGCAGTTTACCAGTTTTTGAGATAACAGCCAATTTACAGCCATGGAAAAATCCAGGATCAAGTGCAAGGACAACTTTATGCTTCACTGTTGCCACCAATAAACGGTTCTTGAGATTTGAACAAAATACCTCGATAGAAGCCTTTTCTGCCTTTTTGGTTAGGTCGGATCTACAAAATGAAGCAAACAACATTGATTTTATTTTTTAATTTATTATTATTTAAAAATTATATCATGAATAATTTTGTTAATACTTTTATCATCATGAATATGTAAACATTATTAGTAAAATGCTTGAGGGCCAATAAAGAAAATGCCAAATACCAACAGTCTTTATGGAATTTAATGTCCATCAGGAACTTTTGATCTAAGAAGAGTTGATCTGCGGTGAAACCAAAATGTATTGTATTCACCCTAAGAGATACCAAAGTAAACTGTGCTCGATGTCACCTCAGAATGTCAAAAGACTTGGAACCCTCAAAAGCTACCAAGTGCAGAATTGGGCCTCAAAGAATGTCAGTGTCTGGACCAACATAAACAGAAATGAAACACTGTTGAAATAATAATATCCAAAAACAAGAAAATTGGATGACAAGAAGTTAGATAAACACCCAAGGAAGAGTGAGTACAGAATCTCACATATTCTCACAAGAAGATCAAACATTCAAAGAAAGACCCAAAACCACATACCATTCAATTTAACTGATGTTAATCCAATGGAGTCCAGAAGTGAATAAAATATTATTTCCTGTATGATAAATTTAGTCTTTTATTGTTATCAGACTTTTTGAACATGAAATTATAAAAACCATGAACGACGATGAAATCCTGTAATTAAATGGATTACAAAAACAAAACATCAAACAGATTTACAAGAACTTTTATGTGCAATGTCCTTTCAGGACATAAGTGATCATGGGTCTCCACAAGTTCCTGCTTGAAGAGTAAGTGGCCATGGTTAAATGTAATTGACAGAAATGCCAAACAAAGAGAATTGACAAATTTTCCAATAAAACAATAAGAAGAGAAAAATAAAGAACAAGACAAAAAATAATATTTAACAAGCAAACAATATATGCAAGGCAAAGGAACAGTCATAAGGCAAAACAAAAGAAATAAGGCAAAAGTTAACAAACTAAGAATTGGTGTTAACATACAAAAGGTGATAACACAAGCAATCACAGCATTCTGACTTCAAAACAAGAAATTACAAAACTAAATCAGATGAGACCAAGAAGTGGCCAAACTTATTGGCTCAGAAGAAATCCCAGCATGCATCTGTATGTTTTGCCTATAAATCAGAGAGGGGGAAGTTTAGCCTGGGAGTTTACGTCCACAATCATCTCCTGCTAACTAAGGAACTCTCTCTTCAATCTCCAGACCATTGATATGTCTCCATCTGTCTCTCCCCAATTCAGTAAGCTATCTCTTCTTCTTCAATCGTTCCCTTTCCTCTCAAGACTGTGGTGTATTCGATAGCATTTCTGATAACATAGACAATGCCATCTCTCTACATATATTAGCACACATATTAGTGTTCGGTGACTTTAACACCTACCATACCATATGGCTTAAACATTGACCTTGCTGGCATAGAAACCTTAACTTTTCATCCACATATCTTATAATGTTATGCCCACCAATAATAAATTTGTGAGATACCACTTCAAAAATAACAAAGACATGCACATCAACCCTTTGCAGGTTATTTAAAGCCATAAAGTACTTTTAGAATGTAAGAATTTGAGGGGGTATAATAACGATTTAGTGATACAAGTTTTACTAATTAATCCATAGCTGGGGGAGAAGAAGTGGATTCATACCTAATCAGAATTTGATAAACAAACAAGAAATTGTAATGTGGATATAAATTGACAGATCAATTCTATATAATAATCAGTTTATAAACTGATCCCTCATTTTGTGGTCATTGAATTTCTATGCATTTATATTCCAGACAATGTGAATAAATCTAAAAGATACCTGTATAGATAATCTTTATTTCATTGATTTATCGATTCGTTTTCGACAGCTTATCAACCCTTTGCAGGTTATTTAAAGCCAGAAAATATTGAAAAATTTCAATTACTTAATTAAGAACAAATTATATCTGTATTATATATAACCATACATACACAGGTAATGCATGATTTCACATATCAAGTTGCCCTCAAATTTTCACTTATAAAAAATGATTTTATCGTGTATCTCATGTATCATGCGAGTTCCTTTTCTTGAAAGACCAAATTACAAGACTAACCTCTTTTCCTTTATCTCTTTATCCCATCTTCTAGTTAAATAAGTTAAAAAAAAAAGTAAAAGAGAATGATAAAAGTATCGTTAGTAACGCTATACTGGTTGCGTAAACGCATACAGCCATAAACAACCGAATGAGAAACAGCTAAACATCTTATAAACGTAAACAATGGAAAAGATGCATATTTGCTATGTTTGTATTTTATAATATGATACGAATATGTGAATATTACATGCATTATTATTTGATACAGTTAAGTAAAACTTCAGTTTCATCTAAATCATGTTTATTTTAAATATAGCTGTACTTTTTGACTAATGTAAATGGATATATAGTCTGGTCAACGGTGTAGCTATGGCCAGCAGTACATACGCTAATTGTATATACTATAAAGAGTTCTATATTATGAGGTTGGATTCAGTCTACATACTAACTAAACAGGCATACAGCAGTAGCTTAAGCATTACATATAGGGGATACTTAACTAATTACGTTATACTAAGTGCAAGTGTGCATTATAACAATAACCTTACAATAGGAAGTTCTAATAGTTACATATCATGTATATTGTCATATATTACACATATATTATCATATATAACATATCATATATGATACATTTGACAGAGGAGGGGTGTATTGAACATTTGATAATTTTGCGCCAATATGCGCTAAAGATTTCAGGCAGTTTTGATCAACATTTCCTTTCATGGTTAGCCTTAAAGAATTGTAAATGTAGGACTACCTTACACTTAAGTCAAATAATAACAACAATAATATTTATTAAGAATTTATTACAAGAAATATCAAGTTTTAGGGAAACATTGTTGATAGTTACATATTTAGTCACATAAAAAATAAATAAAAATAATATAAATTTGGATGCTATATTCAATTTATCGTTAGGTATTTTTCATTTTCTCCTTTGTTATTGGCAGCATTTTAGAATACTTTGGCTGCAATGCTAAGTTTCCTAAGCTGAAGAAACTGGAGCTATTTTGTTTACGCTTTGTTACCTCTCTTTTCCATAGTTATTTTTAGATCGCCTTTTTCTGATCCTTTTGATGGGCAATAGTGAAATTCTGAAATTTAAAATGATCTTATTCCATTTAAAAAATAAAGCTTGTAAAAAGGGATATTTTAAATTAATCTACAACCAAAAATAAAATGCTTTTGATGAAAGAGCTTAATGATTTCACTATAATTATGTAACAATAATGTAATGATATTCCACTAACAAATCTATGGTTTATGTTACCTCATCTTATTGCAGGGTTATGAATTATAAACCTAACTTGAAATATTGTGTAATTGGCTCTAATTTTTTGTAAAATAATTGGATATGATATAATAATTTGCAGTGAAAAAAGCAATTTTTGATTTTTTGTTGAATAGGCTCCCTTCTCCACCAAATGTGTCATATTACATATTATCATATATTATTATACAGGTTGTTTCAAAAAGAGTACGCCAAAATCATTACACTGTTTTTTCAAGTTTTAGCATTGTAGTGGACTGAATCAGTGGTTATTTGATAGAGTAGTTATCAAAGTTTGATTGGGTGTCAGTTTCACCACTGTCGTTAGTATAACTTCCGGTGCAGCTACAAACAGGACAAACCTATCTCGAAATGGTCCAAAAATGGCTATTCACTTTACTGCAAGCAGATTCGAATGACTTCATTTTTCAGCAAATGGAGCACCACCCCATTGGTATCTCGAGGTTAGAGCTTATCTGAATGAAAACATGCCTCAGCGATGGATTGGGAGGAGAGGTGCTAAAGACCTTGCTCTCTGTGCTTGGACTGCCAGATCCCCGGACCTCGCTGTGTGTGACGTTTTCTTGTGGGGGTATGTTAAAGACCAAGTTTATGTTCCAGCAAGTATCAATGACTTGAAAAATCGAATAACAGCTGTAATCAACACGGTTGACCGTGACATGCTGAGGCGCATTTGGGAGGAATTCTCATATCGGCTTGATGTTGTCCGCGCTGCTAGTGGTGGCCATATTGAGCACTTATAAAACATGAAATGAAACTTGAATGTATATATAACACATGTATTCATGCTAGAGGTTTGTAATTTTTTTCGTTTTTGTCATATCACGTGATGATTTTGGTGTATTCTTTTTGAAACACATATATTACATTATTATATATGAATAAAGACCAAAGGAAAACTTAGCTGACACATTTTGTCTTCTGAGAGACTTTATCAAGGCAAATGTTTTTACACATTATTATATATTACACATTATATATTACCTTATAGGTACAGTGGAGTAATGGATAGAAGTTCGGATTGAGGAATTGGAGAGCCAAGTTCGAATTCCAGTCAAATCTATTTCACTCACTGTTGGGAAAGGTATTAATTCTCTTCTTCTCTCCCCCAGCTATAGATAAATAGCAGGACAGACTGCATTCTATAACTTTAGATGGCAACTGGTCTAAGAGAAGGACAACTGAATTCAAAATCTGTAAAGGGTCTTGTGACACATGGTGCATCAGGTCTCTGTATACAGCCTTTCAAAAAAGTGTGGTTGGTTCTACACAAAGTCTTCAATACTGTGGGAGCGTCTGGCTGTTGGTTCTTAGGAACTGAGTTGCTTAACACTTATATGTCGAAAATGACAGGAGAGTCCATTTTATATTACCTACTTTTGATTTATAAATCAAATTTTTTAAATTCTGAAAATGTTTCAACTGAAAGAAGTTTTAAAGATATCTGAAAATCTAAAGCATCATCATGTCAACAAGTTATTTCGTTTTCTCTCATATAAGGAAAAAAAAAAAACAGAAAAAGTATATAAAAGTCAAAGATTTCATACCTGATTTGCCGACACACCTGGGGGGCTACAAGACGATCATAAGCATCAGAAACTGATTCTTCAATTAAAAATTTCACTGATTTTGTAGCAGTGGGACGAATCCATTTTTTGTGACAGAAAATTGTATACAATCTTTTGATGTTTTCTGGCAGAACGACCTTCACAGAGAGGATCTTATTGTCCTCTCCTCGATTAATAGCTAAGACCTAAACAAAAAAGAAATGAAATCTGATATCAAAGCAAATCAAAAATCGCCCATTTCAGATTCATATGATATCCATCTTCACTACTTTTTTCCTCTGCACACTACTGGGACTAATAGTTGATTTTTGCCAAAGACCACCAAAAACTTAACAGTGGTAAGTTCATTGTTTTCTAATTGGAACAAAACCGCCCCCAAATTTGTATGTTACTCTGCATACACTCCACACATGGCAATTTTTGAGAATTAAATCCTTTCAGGAAATATCTATAAATCCAGAATGCTTCAGTATCCGAAAGATGCTCTACCAGAGGATGAAAGAGGTCTTCTCTCCGGTCTCGGGGATGAAAGAGGCCTTCTCTCCGGTCTCGGGGATGAAAGAGGCCTTCTCTCCGGTCTCGGGGATGAAAGAGGCCTTCTCTCCGGTCTCGGGGATGAAAGAGGCCTTCTCTCCGGTCTCGGGGATTTCATTATTTCATTCTTCTGGATTTCTTTGTTCATTTGTGTCCAAGAAATTTAAACTCTCTCTTTCTGATTGTAAGTATAAGTGTCTTTCTTGTTCCGATTTTCCTAAAGACTTCCTTATTGCTTACATGTTCTTGCTATGTTAATCTTAGAATTAGAGATGCAAATTATATTCTAAAAAAAACCGATAAAACAAAGTAGGAAATTTACAGATTCTATTCAGAAAATGTTTATTGTTTGAACATCTGTTCATTGTGACATTTTATGTTGATTTTAAAGGTTTCTAATAAGACTTGTTTCTCAAAACTGTCTTTTTACAGTTAATAGATAGTCCTTTATTCTTGCTTTCTTTTACTAAATATACTAAGATATAATCCATTTTTCGGTTTAGAGTCTGTAATCAACACTATATCATCTGTGTATATGTTCTTAAATATGGGTACGTGGCCAAGTGGTTAGAATGTTTGCTTTATGACCATGAGACCAGGGTTTGATTCTCACCATGGTCAAATTGTCAGGAAGGTGATTTCTTGATGTTAGCAACCTGGAGGAGGCGATCTCAGCAGGCAGCATCTTTGGAAAGTGCCTGAAAACAATACCATAGATTGACCCAAGCCTTGTGAATGAAACTGGGTAGATAGAAACCTTTGGGAGACACCAATGCCTGTTCTAGCACAAAGTCACAAGTCATTGTGACTGAAGGTTTGGGCTCTGTGGGTGTTGAACAAATACAAATGTGCCCAAGCAGGTGTCTGCAACAGGGATTAGCTAGCTGTCCTGGTAGACAGTCATTCTCGGATATGAGTGGCCAGCCATCCATCCATTTATGTTGATAAGTACTAGCATATTTTCTCACATTTTTGTAAAACTTGTACAATGTTTTTTCCATTAGGGAAAAACAAGTTCAAAAAAATAATATAAAAAAAAACCTTTTTAGACAATCAATATTTAATAATAACTAACATAGATGCTCAAAAAACAATGTGATCAAAAAGAATTTGGTGGACATCTTTTATTCAGACAGCAAATAAGAAAGCTATGATCATCTTTAAAATGTTCATTAGTAAAGGATATTAATTAACAATTTCATTCATTTACCTGCAAAGTGCCAAATTATATTAAATACATGGCAAAGTTTAACCTTTATACCAGCAAAAAGAAGTTGGCGTGTTAAAAGGATGGTTATTCTCTTGATACTGATATTACTGTACACACTTTTCACTCCCTCAGCAATGTTTATATACAAGATTATAAAAATATGCGAACTGAGTATAATGCAGTATTTATTACTCACCATTTCATAAAGAAATAAATTTGAAAAGAAATCTTTTGATTCAAAAAATTACAAAATTATTAAAATACCTAAACCAACTACAAGGCAATATTTATTATTTACCATTTTATAAATAACGATGAAAATCTAATAGTGTTTAATATCTTTGTTGTCAATTCTCAAGATTGTAGAAAATGTATAAATACACACATATATATGGGTTTTATTAAAATTCTAACCATCAGTTTATAAAAACAATAAACATAGCTGAGAGGTCTGTCTATATTTCTGAGATGAGGTGTTATATACACTATTTACATTATTCGGACTATTGTCTTCATCTTTGTTGCCAAAACGGACGAAATATTGTGATAAATATGGCAACAAAGATGAGGACAATAGTCCGAATAATGTAAATAGTATTGCTGAGGGATCCAAAAGTGTATACAGTAATAGCAATGACAAAGGAATAATTGTACTTTTGACAGACCATTTGATTATGGACATCAAAGTTAAACATTGGCAATTATATAATGTCCCCCTTTTTGAAATTCACACTTCAACTTCATTATTTCTTCTGCAGTGAAGACATTAATGCAGCAAGTGTTTATCCAATCAGGTTTTCTAAATGCTGTCAAATATGGAACTTTAGAAGATTTCTAAAATTTTCAGTGTTTCATGACTTCTGGCTAATCAATTAAAAAGTCTGAAAGAAGACAATCCTTAGGCAGATCTTATAGACTGGTGCTACAAAAACACAAAATAATACGACTATTATAGCTATAATCTAAATGCATTGAAAATGAGGAAGAAAGGGATTGTCAGTGGTCAGGAATGAAGGCAAGCATTACTGATAGAATACAGCCATTATATGTATAATGGAAATACATTGCTAATTATTTTACTATAGGAATGCATTGAAAATGTGGAAGAGAGGGATTGTCAGTGGTCAGGAATGAAGGCAAGCATTACTAATAGAATAGGGCTATTATATGTATAATGGAAATGCATTTCTGATGATTTTACTATAGAAATGTTGAAAATGAGGAAGAAAAGGATTGTCAGTGGTCAGGAATGAAGGTAAGCATTACTGATAGAATCGGGCTATTATATGTATAATGGAAATGCATTGCTAATGTTTTTACTATAGGAATGCATTGAAATGAAACTTTCAGGATTTATTCAAAAATAAATTATTTTTTAAATATTTTTTTAGAAAATGTTGATAAAAATATTTGTTTTTTTACCTCCCACAAATTAATTTTATGAAATTAAGGGAATTTAAATTTTGATCATATAATGTTTTAGTTAAAAGTAGATCTCCTTGGAGAATTTAAATCATTAATTTTTTTCAAACAGTTACTCATTTCCCAAAAGTCTGCTCTGAATCATAAAATAAAAAATACAATAAAACTATTAAATTATTTAATTAGGAAAGCCTTTAATTGCTTTTATAAATAAAATTTATTAAGGACACTATTGTCTCAAAAATATTTTTTTTCTATGAATAATGAATTTTTACAAGAATCGATTTCATTTCTTTTTAAATTTGAATTATAATAATTATTTAAATTTATGAAGTTTCAAATCTTTTAAAATTCTATATTACTTTGTGTTAGGTGATATTGTTATTAAATGAAAACTATATTTACTTATCAAAAATTGAAAAGCTTAATACAAATTATCACACACCAAAATTTTTTATATAATTTTTAATTTTTATTTTTTAGTGCATAAACATTCCAATTTTTGTAAGTACTGACAACCATACAACGCTTTAACAGAAAGAACAATGACTATAGTAAATTTAAAGTCAACATTCCTGAAATTAGATTATGGAGAATATTTTCCAAAATTTTAAAGATTATTAAGTATTAAAAAATTATATAAAAAAGGCACTCATGTCATTTTCTTAAATTATGTTTTACAGATAAAGTCTCTATAGAACAACAATAAACCCGTTATCACATTTTCATCAGTTGTCAATCATGTAAACATGGCTACTGTCAGCTACGAACACTAAAAAAATTAAAAATAAAATAAAAGCTTCAAGAAAGATTTTTCATTTTTAAATATTAATTTTAAACTTTAGGTATTCTTTTTTTTGTGGAGGTCCCTAGTATAATATAAAGGCATTGTTAATGATTTTACTATAGGAATACATTGAAAATCAGGAGGAAAGATACTGTCAGTGGTCAAGAACAAAGGTATGCTTTATTGATATGTAATGATTATGCAATTATTCTTAAGTTGAAATTACATTTTGAACAGGTATAACCAATGAGATTATCATTTCAGGTTGTTTAGCACAAAAATCTAAAATTTTAAAATATTAAAATCTTTTATCAGTTGTTGAACAATAAAATGACACTGATGGTGTCAAAAAAAGTTGAAAATAGCTCATTCTTAAATGAAAATTATCTAAAGAATGATAAAAGATTAATTTTTCCCACAACTTACCTGGTGAGGTTTGATTGACTTAATACTGCACTTGAATTCAAAATAATTCTGAAATTTATGTTCTTCCACTGACTTTTTGGAATTTTCACATTTTCCTTTCTTTGTTTTTGGTTCCTTTTTGGAAGCAGTTGGTGCCGCCTTTTTGGTTTTGATACTCTCAAGCATTATATAACTGCTTTGGCATCTAAAATAAAATATAAAACATAATTTTTACCACAAAGAGAAAATAATAACTGATCTATGATCAGTAAAGAAATACAGAAACGCAAAAATGTCTTCTTTTTTTATGTTTTTGAAGACTCAAAAATCAAATCGGAAATATTTAAACTGTGTTAAAAATAAATTAGAATTATTGGTTACTTGAATTATTTACATTATTCAGACTGTTATCCTCACCTTCATTGATATATTTACATTTTTGTTGTTGTACACTCTGGCCTTCTTCAGGTGAATGGAATTTCAAACCAAACCCAGTGGATAAAGATGTTGGTTAGATCCGTGACTAGAACCAAAGAGTTATGAGTTCAATACCAGTCCACAGCAGTGGTGAACCAAAACTTAGAGAGTTGAGTTAAAGGGAAATAGCTAAGACATCCGGAAGAAGCATGGCATGGCTCTTCTGGATGTCTTAGTTCAGGTGATTAGAATTTTGAACCAAAATGTACCCCGGTGGATGAAATAAAGGGTTTGGTTCAAAATTCTAATCCCCTGAAGAAGGCCGAAGCGTACAACAGCTGAAATTTTGTGAATATGGCAATGAAGATGAGGATAACAGTCCAAATAATGTAAATAATGCAAGTAATCATAATACCTCAACTCAGAGATATAGATAGAATTATTGGATTTTAATTCTTAAATATTACTAGCAGTAGAGCCCGGCATTGCCCGGGGATGTAACAGTAAGAGATAGATCAAGTATTGACCATCATAAAGACTGAAAAATAAAATTGACAAAGATTATTGTTTAAGGTTGATGGACACGCATGTCTTAATTAGTTTTTTTTTTTTTACAAATTGGTCAAACCCAAATTCAAACAAAAACATTGTTTACAATCGTTATGAGTCTATCGATTGGTGAATAGAATTTTATTATAAACAATTGTTTTGTAAATGGAATTTTTAAAGCATTCTGAATGTAAAAATAAAAAAAATGTGCAAGACAACAAGAAACACTACCTGCCAAAAAAAGTGAAGTTTTATTTGAAATCAATTGAAAAATGTAGGTAGCCTTTCTCTGTAATCTTTTTACAATTTATGATTTTACTTATTGAATACAGTAAAAAAAATTGCATATTTTGCTTGTGGTGATTCATAATTAGAATTTTGATTTGAATATATTTTCCACTCGTTGTTTCTAATACAAAAATATTAACTATATTTGGGTTTATTAATTTATTACAAGTACTGTGTTCTTTCCTTAATAATTATCATCTTCGAAATATTGTTGTTTTTTGTCTATCAGATTTCTTACGTCAGCATTTTTAAATTATTTCTTAATACTTTCTTTTAAATATTGAATTAATTTCAAATAGAACCAATGCCTTATTGATCTGCCTTGTAACAAATTGCAAAGGGAATTGTAAAAACGGTCCGAAAGTACGTGGAATTATCTTTCCCTAAAGATAAAGAATTATCCGATTTTTCAATTCGTACAATCAGTAGAGATTGTTAGATTATTGTTTAGGTTGACGGACACGCATGTCTTAGTTTTTTTTGTTTTTTTTTACGAATTGGTCAAACTCAAACAAAAACATTGTTTTCAATATCATTATGATGAGTCCTCCAATTGAATAGAATTAGAATTTTATTATAAACAATTGTCTTGTAAATGGAATTTTTAAAGCATTCTGAATGTATAAATAAAAGAAAAAAGTGTGCAAGACAATAAAAATACTACCTGCCAAAAAAAAAAGCGGATGTTTGTTTTATCGCTGATGTAAGAAATCGATCCCATATACAAAGGAACATACACACACACACAAACAACCTGGGTTTTTAACCAAAGTCACTCCACGGAATCGCTAAAACATAGAGCATAGTCTGATGAAAAAGATGCCAAAGTTTATGAAAACAAAATTTTATCGTCAAAATGCTTATGTTTTTTATGAAGAGGATAGACTAAATTTTTTAAATTAGTTTTAAAATTTTTCCATCTTTTTAGAATATTCTAAATTTTGATTTAAAAACCTTGTTTCTTTTGTCACAACAAGGGGTAGTAAATAACATAGATAATTTTTAGCGTTTTTTTTGTATTTACACATTAATTTGGAAAATCTTGCAAAAATAAAAATAATTGGCAGATGTCAATGAAACTCTCAGAAACTATTCACAGATGATCGAAATTATTATAAATATGTTTTTTTTTTATTAAAGTCATGGCAGAAATATTTTTTTTTATATTTATTAACACCCCCATAACTAATTTTATGAAAACTCTAGAAATTGAAACCATCGGTTTTAGTGATTACAATAGTTAAAAGCACAAGGCTTTGAAGAATGCAAATCATGTTTTTTTTGTTTTTTTTTTTTGGCCAACGTACCTGAAAATCAGCTGTGAATTATAACATACAAAACTCAATAAAACAAATATATTATTTAGTTTCAAATGCTTTTATTTGTTTTAATTTGTTTTTATGAATATGGACAATATTTTCTGAAAGCAAAAAATTTTTTCAATGAAAATTGAATTTTTAAAAATATTTTAACATTAGTTAAAAGCAACATCAACCTTTCAAAATGTCCGTGAGATTGTCATTGTCTAGTGCTTTAAAAATTGTATAATTTGGACCAATCAGATTAGCCATGGTGATTAAGAAATGTAATTTTTGTGTTTATAGTCGGACAGTAATTATCAACAACGGAAGACCAAACCAGAATACAATTTAGTTGCATTATTTGAATTCAGCATTGTTCTCCGCTGCTAAGCCCTTTACTTTTTCTTGAAACACGTATGGAGAAGTTAATTTGAGTTTTCAATTTCAACTGAGAAAGGTACCTACAAGTAACAGTATCATCTTATGAAATTTAACTACTGCTAAACTTTAATTTTATGATCTTATTTTTATATTAATCTCAGTTATGACATTTTTCCATAAATGAAATATCAAACAAAATTAATAATAAAATGAATGGAAATACAAATAACACAGTAAAATGTAATAAATGTACATAAAATTATAGTATTTTATGTACACTAAATAAAATTTCATAAGAAAGGTACCTAAATTAATTAGATACCTTTTTCTTATGAAATTTAATCTCACTATTAACAGTCTTATTTTTAATTTCTTTTATATTTTCCATAAAGCATCGTAAACGTAAAAATGAAAGCTAAGTACAAAAAAAAAAAAAATAAAAAATTAGAGCGCTGAAAGTTTTCCTTAAAAGTAACGAGGTAAATAATTTGTTCACTTAAATAATTTCACTTCCTTCCATACGTAGAAAGAATTATCCTCCGTAAATTATCTAAACGTTATGAATGTGCTTTTCGTCAAGCGACGCGAAAGGTTATGACCTGCTTTGTTTTATTTTCAAATTACATTTTTCGGCGCAGAAGCTAAGTTAAGCTTGGTTCAAGATATTTTAAATAAACAGTATAATTTCTGTTTTTATTAAAATCAGTTTTGAAAAAATGATAATTGATTTTTAAAAGAATATCAAAGTCAGATTTTAATCGAAAAAAAATGATTGAAAATGATTATCTGTCCTTTTTTTTTGAGTTTTGACCAAAATAAAACAATATATTTAACGAAAATTTCAGACGTGCTAGGAACGATTAAAAAATGTAAAAAAATACACCCAAAATACTTTGATCTTTCCTCTTTAATAATAATATGAACATTAGGCGATAAAATTTTGTTTTCATGGCACGGCTTTTTTTCATCATGCTATGCTCTTTTGTTTACATTTTTCGTGGGTGAGTTGTCCCCTTTCATTCTCACGATGTGTCTTAATGTGTTTTCAAATTGATTTTCTTAAAAAACAATTTTGTTTTTCCCATTTTCGGCACCGTTAGAACCATCACAAGGTAATTTTATGTAGTCCTGTGAAGTTTTGTTGAAATCAGCTAAAAAATGTAGGAAATTCGATCCAATATATAAACGTTACAGACACACACACACACACACAATCTGCATTTTATAATAAGTAAGATTTAATTTTTTCTTTATTTCTTGTTAACATCCTAAGTGACGTTTCACACTTCATAATGCAATCAATTAATTGCTTCCTAGTTTCCACTTGTGTATTTTTTTGTTTTTTTTTTTCTTTTCACTCCAAGTAGGAATGCTCATTACTATGAAGGGAATTAAAGGGAGTGAAAGTGAAAGAGAAGACTGAGAATAGGGAGGATTGACAAAAGGACAGACGATGAACAGGTTTCAAGAAGACAGAAAATGGTAACTGATGTTGCATTTAAATTTTTGAAGATTGTAGTTATCAGGAAAGCAAATAAACAGAAAAGAGTTCCACAGGTAGGAAGTGCAAGAAAAGAGACTGTTAGAGTAGAAGTGGTGGTTGCATTTAAATATTTCAACAGTAAATGGGTGGGACCTAAATGCCAATCTAGTAGCATGCTTAAATTCATGTAGTTGGGGCAACAGAGACAAAAGCTCATCAGAGTAGTTGCCATGAAAATATTTGTGGAAGAGACAGAGGGAAGCCACACCACATTGGTGAAAAAGTGACTGAAATCAAGATGCCAGGTCATGATCGATTACATTACAGATCCTTCTTTGAATTTGGTCAAGAATTTCAAGATATATAATAGAAGCGGCAGACCAGATATGATAGCAATATTCATAATTGTCATAAAATTGTAGAAAATACAGAAGGAAGCTATACCACGTTGGTGAAAAAGTGAATGAAGTCAAGATGACAGGTCATGATCGATTATATTGCAGATCCTTCTTTTAATACATAATCATTTCTTAGTGTCAGATTTCGATAATTTCCCTGCCCCAGAGAGAGATTTATATTTGCCAAAACAAAATATGAGTAATAGAACATTTTACTTCCATAGATTAAGTTGTAGGGAGAGAAAAATAAAAATTTCAGTATTTTGGTTTGCCATAAAGAAATAAAAACAAAAAAAAAAAAAAAAAAAAAAAAAAATGAAATAAAGAAAAGAGGCCAAAAGGTTATCATTCCTAAATGTGGGTTTATACATGTTTCATTAAAGACATTGTGTTCAAACAAGTGTTTTCTTTTCTGGACACAGAGTGTGTAGAAACAGTCCAAATGTTCTGGAATTCTGAACGCTTTCAGCTATATTTTTAGCCATTATCAAGGATGATTTTATTTTTGCTTTTAAATTGGGTGTATGGGTTGTGTGTATGTTCATAGAGTTATGGAGATGTTTTATTTTCCGATCACAGTGAGTACATTGGGCAGTTTCTACACACTCTGTGTCCAGAAAAAAAAAAACACTTGTTTGAATGCAAGAAAAATTAAATAAAAAGCTTAATTGTAGTACTTTGTCTATCATCTTTAATGAAAGACACACGCACACACACACATATATATATATATATATATAAAAATAAAGGTACCTCTACAAAAATTGCAATACCTAAGATTTAAATTAATTTTTTAAAATGATAAAGCTTCTTTGAAGTTTTTATTTTAGCTTTAATTGAAAGTTAAAGGATTATTTTTTGTTTTGTCAGTAACATCAACAAAGTCGCCTATTTTTGAGACATTTGTAAACACAAGTCACTTTGGTCTTTTCTCTTAATAATAACAATCATTTTGATAAAACTTTGTTTTCATTATGTTTGGGGACTTTTTTCATGCTATGCTCTTTTTTTGGTATAATTACATTAGGTCAATGTTTTAAGCTACACACCCAGCGGATAGTTATAGATTTCTAACCACTGTTTTATATTTGGTCTTCAGCTGTTAAATTTCTATTTTATTATCATTAAACTGATCATATGATTATTTACAATATTTATTTAATTGCTTCATGGGTGGCAGGGTTAGTTTTTAATATTGATTTAATTGCTTCATGAGTGGGAGGGTTAATTTTTAATATTTATTTAATTGCTTCATGGATTGCAGAGTTAGTTTTTTTAATATTCTCAATACTCAATTCTCTTTTTGCATGGAGGCTACATTTCAGAGACTACTATGCAAAATAAAACTATGTACAACAATATGTTGCATATATATGAAAATTAGAGACAGGTTCCATCCAAATATGTTTAATAAAAAAATGTTAATTTTCATATACAAATAAATTGAATTTTTTATTTACACACACACACACATTATATATATGTGTGTGTGTGTGTGTGTGTGTGTGTGTGTGTCTAGATTTCTGAGATTTGGTATTATGTACACTATTTACATTATTCGAACTATTGTCCTCATCTTTGTCACTATATTTATTACAATGTTTCGGCCATCGTACACTCCGACCTTCTTCAGGTTCCACATGCCATGTTTAATGGATTGGTTTATATATTTATATATATATATATATATATATATATATATATATATATATATACACACACACACACTGTTCAAACAAATCTTCATTTTAAAAGGAAGAGATAGTTGTCTTCTATAAAAAGTGGCAATCATCATATATATATATATATATATATATATATATACCCACACGCACACACACAAAACAATCATTCAGTGCCACTATTAGACAGTAAATGTGCCCACTTTTTATTGTTTTTGGGCGGTGCAAAATCATTATTGTCACTGGAAATATTTAATGGTGATATATCTTCATGTGTATCTTGAATAAAATTAACATCTTGTGTTTCTTTCGTTTCATTGGTTTTGAATACGAATTCGGTTATCAGACACTATTCTTTATAATGTACCATAATCAATGGAATTGCGCAGCTCGTTCAGCATTGTTATCATTTGTAAGAAAATGATTTCCAAGTTTATTGGCAATTTGGAGGTCTTCTAGATGGTAACGACTGCCACCGTGCACCATCTGACAGAGCAGTTGCACACAGTCAGAGTTATGTACAACGCATAGGTCCCACCCACATCAGAGAGTGGGGGATCACTATACAGAAAAAAAATAGATTGGACTATTTTACTTTGCTAAATTGTTACTTAATCATTTTACATAGAGTTTCAGCATTTTATAAATTATAATTGATTGATGTTACTTAATTGTTTACTTGCCACTTGCAATAATTTCCGTGATCATACGACAGATGTTTAAACCGTGTTAAAGTAAAAAAATAGTGCAAAAAAAATAACCAGTTCTTTTTGCTGGACAGTGTTATTTCAAAACTGTTATTTAAAAAAGAGAACTGAGTGTATTTATTTAATTGCTTCATGGGTGGCAGAGTTAATTTTTAATATTTATTTAATATATAACAAATTTTTGCCTTTTAAAAATGCATACAGAGATAATTAGTACAAAGATATATTTTGCATGTACTGATAAAATTTTATATCTCTTAAAATAAAATATACAATATTTAAAGAGTTCATATGTTCATATCAGAAAGCCCTTTAGCATACGAGACAGAAAGAGGAGAGTCCTTATATAACATATAACAGAGAGAGAGAATAGAGTCCTTTAGCATATAATAATAAAGAGAGAATAGTCCTTTAGCATATAATAGAGAGAATAGTCCTTTAGAATATAATAGAAGAGAGCATATAATAGAGAGAAAATAGTCCTTTAGCATCATGTAATAGAGATAGAGTCCTTTAGAGAGAGAATAGAGTCCTTTAGCATATGAGAGAAAGAGAGTCCTTTAGCATATGAGAGAAAGAGAGTCCTTTAGCATATGAGAGAGAGAGAGTCCTTTAGCATATGAGAGAGAGAGAGAGAGTCATTTAATATGAGAGAGAGAGAGTCATTTAGCATATGAGAGAGAGAGAGAGAGTCATTTAGCATATGAGAGAGAGAGAGAGAGACTCATTTAGCATATGAGAGAGAGAGAGAGACTCATTTAGCATATGAGAGAGAGAGAGACTCATTTAGCATATGAGAGAGAGAGAGAGAGAGATTCATTTAGCATATGAGAGAGAGAGAAGAGAGTTCTTGTAAATGTGTATTTCTTGATAGTAGTAATCCTTCAGACTCTCTATCAGATTTTTAGGTGTCCAAAAATGTAGGCATGGGAGAGATGAAATTATTCCATCGATACTCTGGTTCCTTTGCCTGGTCGTCTCTACATTTATCACTTTTTTTTGAGACAAAGGAATTCATTCTAGAATTGTTTCTTGATTTCCGATTGGTTCACAGATGTGACTCATTTGACAATAATCACTTTTTCTTCACTTACATTTAGGAATGGATGACCTTTTGGCCTCTTTTATTTATCTTATTTTTTATGTTTTATTTTTATTTCTTTATGGCAAACCAAAATGGTTTGTAAACTTGTCTCTTTTTTTTTTAAATAGTGAACTTTTTATTTTTCTATTACTACAATGGCTACAGCTGATGCAATAAGAAGTAACTGAAATTATGATGGAATAAGAAAAAAGAATGAAGTTTCATAAAAGACAAATAAAGATGAAAAGAATGAAATTCTTACACTGAATTAAGGTGTTCTTTGGCTTCTGTATTTTTGGCAATAATATCAGCAATGATATATTGAAGACCTTTTTTCACACCAGACTCTGTCGAATAATCTGGATGGGAAAAAAAAAGAAAAGAAAAATTGCATATACAAAGAAAGATTATGCCGAAGTAAGGTGTTGAATAAAGATAATATAATTTTATTTCTAAATTTTTATAACTTTTATGTACATAGGATGCTGAAGGTAAAAGGACAAAGGCCCAAGAGCCCTCTGTAGGAGCTAGCATAAAATCTGCCTAAAGTGCAGCTTCTAAGCTAGTATAACAATAAACTAATAAACAATTCAGTTCTATATTCATAAGTAAAAATCATTCTAAAGAGATAATCAAACATCTTCCTGAGAATATACCATTTCTAGTACTTTAGAGCATCCATATTTCTAAATCTTATGAAAAATAAAATGAATAAAAATGCAATCAAAATTATTATAGATTTAGAAACAAACTTTTCATTCATACCTTCTGAAGATGGCTGGATCAAGGTGTTCAAATCAATATTTGTGTTATTATTAAGAATACTTTCAGCAGATGATTCCAATCCTGCTTCCCGAGCACGTTCAGCCAAACTTCTTTTACTTCCAGGTTTATAGGGGGCATACTGCAATACACAAAACAATTTTTAGGAGTAAAAATCATGGGCCAATGTATTTTCATAGTAAAAATCATTGGTAATGAATTTTTGTAGTAAAAATCATTGGCCAATCCATTTCCATAATAAATACCATTGGCCAATCCATTTCCATAATAAATACCATTGGCCAATCCATTTCCATAATAAACACCATTGGCCAATCCATTTCCATAATAAATACCATTGGCCAATCCATTTCCATAATAAATACCATTGGCCAATCCATTTCCATAATAAATACCATTGGCCAATCCATTTCCATAGTAAAAAGCATTAGCTTATCCATTTCCATAGTAAAAAGCACTGGCCAATGCATTTTTATAGTAAAAGTCATTGGCCAATGCATTTTTATAGTAAAAGTCATTGGCCAATGCATTTTTATAGTAAAAGTCATTGGCCAATGCATTTTCATAGTAAAAGTCATTGGCCAATGCATTTCCATAGTAAAAAGCACTGGCCAATGCATTTTTATAGTAAAAGTCATTGGCCAATGCATTTTTATAGTAAAAGTCACTGACCAATGCATTTTTATAGTAAAAGTCACTGACCAATGCATTTTTATAGTAAAAGTCACTGACCAATGTATTTTTATAGTAAAAGTCACTGACCAATGCATTTTTATACTAAAAGTCACTGACCAATGCATTTTTATACTAAAAGTCATTGGCCAATTCATTTTCATAGTAAAAATCATGGGCCAATGGCATTGTCAGAGTAAAAATCATTGGCCAATGGCATTGTCAGAGTAAAAATCATTGGCCAATGGCATTGTCAGAGTAAAAATCATTGGTAATGCATTTTTATAGTAAAAATCATTACCTAATTAATTTTTTTAACTATTTCTTATATGGATATCTTCAGTAAGCAGACTAAATTGTTGTATAGATGACAAACAATCTATGTTGATCAGGTGCTATGTATAGTATTGTTTAAAGTCACAATTTCAATGAAATTCCAATTATCCAAGATCTGTCCCTGAGAAAGGCTGAAGTTGACATAACTATTTTCACATTAGATGCTTCCATAATAAGAGCTTTAGTATTAGGAATCTACCACACCACTGAAAATCAGATATTTCCTGATGTCTGCAGTAATTATAATTTTTGTTAAAACCCACAATAAAAATAATTTTATTTACATGTAGGCTATTGTCTTCATCTTATTATCACAACATTTTGGCCATTGTGCTCTCCAGCCCTCATCAGCTGTATATCAATCCAGATAATCTATAAGGAATTCCAAACTGAACACTTTATTGAATCTACGGGGGTAGACTATTCTTGTTTCACTGCCCATGTCAAATGATATCTTGTTTTGTTCTTATTTTTAGTACTGCTCAATTATTGCTTGTTCATTTCTACAGAGTCCTAGTACATGCTGCCTGGACCAGGGATTAAACTCATCTCGTTCTTATTTTTACTACAATAGCCGAGATTAGATTAAAGAATTGGTTTCTGCATTTGGTGACATCATCATTGTATGCATATACTTGGACTCAGTGGAAACAGGGAGAGCAATAACTATGCAGTATAACCCCCAAGAGTGGATGCATATATCTTATATTGTAATGCTGTGGTCATCACACCAAATATAACCTGATACTTGTGTTGGTCTCCAAATACAACCTAAGTTTCAAATAGTGTAAGGAGTGGCAGGGGTAAACTTCGGTAAATGTGGCTTGCATTTGGAGCAATAAATTTCACTTCAGCAGGATGTGTCATCTAATAGATTCAAGTTTGTGGACCAACAAGAAACTCATGAGCCCTGGATTTTTGTTAGTCTAGGTGAGAATTTGATTGACTGTTTACTCAACATTGGGCAATCCAGGTGAAAAGGGTAAATGTGTCAATCAGAAGAATATAATGCTGCTAAAAAATTATTAACAATTTAATTAGAGGGGAAATGTAAAATTGTACAACAGCTATGAGGCTACTGTATTTCAATCATTTCCTTTTCTACCCTTGAAGCACTGAGAGATGTCTGTTAAATAATGCTAGTGGTGCTAACATTACAGTAGTAAATTACTTTCATGGTTTGGTTTGGTTTGTTTTACGGCATATCAACCTCAATCGGTTATTTAATGCTGACAAAATTTTTATTGCTGGTAATATTTTGTTTTGTCAAAAATCTATTTCTGGTAATAATTTTTTCCTTGAAAACTGTATTGCTGGTAATATTTTTTTTTTTTTTACAAAAATGTATTGCTGGTAATATTTTTTTTTTCAAAAATGTATTGCTGGTAATAATTTTTTACAAAGAATTTCTGGTATTAAAACCTATTTTTACACTTTCATAGTGTTTTGATCCCCAGTTTCGAGGTTAACTATTTGCCCATAGTTGGGACCCTAACAGGTGCTACCACTCCAGGTCAGGGTGGATCTGGGAACACCAGCAATTAAAAGGTGGTTTCACGCTCCTCAAAACCTCTTCATCAGAGGCCTTGCTGCTGGACATAGTTTATCATCTTACCCAGAACACGAATGTAGTTTATCGTCATACCCAGGATGCAAATTACTTTTATGGCAAACTTTTTCTAATGCATGATGTTTAAATGGGGTATGCGTGCATCTCTAACTGAACTAACCCATTTTGTTCAGCTCCTACTGATACCAAATCCTGACTGATTAGTACCCGTGGGTATTCTATTTATATAAGTTTCTAAGTTTTCAAAATTACATTGGATTCAACGTAAATATAACAAATAGATCTCTAAATAAACAAACCCAAGACAGGACGAAAGTTGTAATGACTTTTGGCAAACTCATTAGTCATGTCATGTCAACTTCCTTGAGGTTATGGAGCAGAGACTGGGGCGTCAGTTATACTGAATCTTAATTAGTTTAATTTGAGTTCAAACTCTTTTGAGGCCCTTCTCATAAGTATTTTATAGATTTAAATTAACTTTTTTAAACTGGACTTTTCTCCATCAGATGCCAAACCAAATTACTACTCCTTTATTTTTCTGCTTCTAATATCTCCAATCCCGCAAATCACTAACCACTTTCCATGCACTAGTATGACTCAACCAGGACCAATATGATGTTACAATCAGTATTAAAACTAACAACTAGATGAGATATCCCTAGACATGGGTAGTATAAAGAAAATTGTCTACTATCATAGATTAAATGAAGGGTTCAGTTCAGAGTTCCCTTGATGGCCGTTCTTCCATCGACATTATCTTCATCACAGGCACATCAGCCATGAAGTACATATCTTGATGGCCGTTCATCATTCTCCTATCTTCTTTCAAAGTTCTGAGACTTTATCACAAGATCTGATGACCCCAAAGGACCCACAAGATAATTTGAAGGATTTTCTTCCATATGAATAAGATACTGGGGGAGAATGTGTTAATAAAATAAGCAGACACTGTCTCCCCTATCACTTATAACCATACATTACAATAAATATAACGTTTGTCAGCGCTGAAGCTGAATTAGCCTAATAAAGATTTGTGAGTTTCTATTTGGTGTTGTTATTAGGCAAAATGGCCAAAATATTGTGATAACAACAACAAAGATGAAGACAATAGTCAGTATGTAACTAATGATAACTCCTGATGCTAGAAATTCAAACAGAAAAAATGATTTTGTATCATTTCGGTCTTTAAAAAAACCCAAATATCAACATCATTTCTTCCTTTAGAGTGGAATATAACAACAGGTTAAACACTGAGGATCCATTCCATAAACACAACCTCAAATCCTATCTGGAGCCTGAGAATATGCAAAACATTCACATAAGAGTTTACTGTGCTTAATGAAAATATTGATATACAAATCATGATCAATTTTTGTCATATCAGAATAAAGTGCTGCTGCTGACATTTGGGTTTGAACACGGATCGCCAGAGAGCAAGCACAGTCTACCTCATCTTGAAATAATTAGATCATGTGACAGGTAATGGAAAAATATACATATGGGAATTGGCAGCATCTGACCAAATATTGTTCGAAGACATTACTATTATTGTGTCTGTGATTTACAAAGTCTCTCCTACAAATGGACATTACAAAAATTTTGTAGATCTCTGTAAAGTAGCGTTTATAAAACTTCTTTTAAAATTTGTTGCAAACAGAAGTGACCATTTATCTAAAAGAAAATGTTTTCTCAGAAGATTGCAATATATTTTATACATACAAGCATCTCTACTTCTGGCATGGAAGTGGCTGCACTCAAAGACCGATTTAAAGCTGGATTTAATTTTCCTTGTTTTTTTATTGATTCCCGAACAGTTGATATCCGATGCTTTACAGCCCTGGAAAAAAAAAAAAAAAAAAAAATCAAATTTAAAAAATGTTGGTTTTATGCAATGTAAGTCCCTGGGGATTTACTTAAAGTTAGTTTATCTTTTTTTTTTCTTTTTTTGAGTAATTAGAGCTTGTCTATACTTCTGAGATGAGGTAGTGTAACTATTTACACGGTTTGAGCTATTGTCCTCATCTTTATTATCATATTCATATTTCGGTCGTTGTACACTCCGGACTTCTTCAGCTGATATGCATTGGAATTTCAAATTGAACCCTTTATTATTTGCTACCAGGTTAAATTGTTCTAGTTCCATGCCTTTTCTGGAAATGTTGTGAATATGACAATAAAGATGAGGACAATAGTCCAATGTAAATAGTGTAAATAATTATAGCTTACAGCAATAATATACTGGGTGTGGCATATACATTTACCCATTATTCATTTTATCATAAAATAAAAAGTTTTAGGTTAAGATTCTACTGGACATAAAGTAAGGGACCGGTTTTCTATTGTTATTAAGTAATAAATTGGTCCCCCACATTGAATTACTACATAATTGATGACATGGGTCAACTAGTATTAATAGAAGATTCTAATGGACCTAAAATAGGGGATCGGTTTTCTGTTGTTATTAAGTAATAAACTGATCCCCCACATAATAAACAATAATTGATAACATTATATGCCTTAATTTTCAGCATTGGTAAACTACAAATATATTATTCTACTGGACATAAAATGGGGGATCAGTTTTATGCTATCCAAAAGTACTAAACTGATCCTCCTGGAGTTACTATATATTAATAGAATAATAGGAAAAAATACATTTAAAGACTCACATGTAAAAACTCTTCTATGGTCTTGAAATATAATTTTCTTTATACAAATATTTGGTATATATGAAATGGGTGGACTCACATTTATATAAATTACCTTTATTGTCCAAGGTAGCCATGATCATCTCAATTGCCCAAAGTACTGCCCTAACCCAGTGTTAGGTTAGTTAACCCATGAACCTCACCCACCCAGAATCATATAATTCTAACATAATTCATGTAAGAGAGAATAGTTTGACTCACCTGAATTCTGAAAGCACCTCCTTCACCTGACGGATTTTATCAGGTTCCATATCACCAGTTTGTTCTTTTCTATATCGAGCAATGAAAGGAACCGTATTGTCATTATCCAACAAGTTAACGACATTCTTTGTTATCTTGTAAGGAATTTGCAAATCTTTGGCAATCTCTTCAATAATATCCCAAGTTACCTCCATCTCAGCAGTAGATTCTTCCAATTCTTAAAAAAAAAAAAAAAAAAAAAAAAAAAAAATTTAAATTACAATATAATATAGTTAATCATTAACCTTTAGCACACTTGATACAAAAATTGTAACCATAGAATTCTCTCCCTTTGCACAATGTCATGAGAGGGTTGCTATAACACTTGCCAACTGTTATTTCCAGAAATAATAGTTGACAAGTGTTTGTTTATAGTAACATTCACAAGGCAACAGAATGTGCTTAACAGCATGCTGTAAGCGTCCTGAAAACAAAGGAAGTATTTGTCGCAGATTACTTCCACAACACAAAGAAAAATCACTATAAGTACAGACTCAAATATCGGGGGTCAGAAAGAAATGCTGAAAACTCGATTTGCCGGTACTATCTCAAATCACAATGCGTGTAACCAGTCAGAAAAATAACTCACTCTCTAGCAAACGCCGTAGCCAAAAATGCACGAATTTTCCGCTCTCAAATCGAGAACGCCAACTGCTTTTATCAGTAGAACATATTTTTTTCATTCGTCGACAGCTGGGAGAGGATGTTCAGTAATTTGCATATCAAAATACTTTTATAGCAACTCCTGCGACAGACTGTTTTTTTGTCTTTTTTAATTCAAATATTCCACTTTTAGCATGTTATGCGGAATACGTGCCCTTTTGTTTGCTAAGTAATTTTCTTTTTCGACACTTTTTCTGTTGTAGAATACACACAATGCGCTGTCGCTTGGTTTGACGAGGTAAGTCGCCGTTTTCTTTGCTATACATGCAAAGGGAGAGAACTCTTCTTTTTTCTTTTTACATGCAATGTCCTTTCAGGATGTAGGCGATCATGGCTCTCCACTTTCCTTTATCCCTGGCAGCACTCAGCAATTTCCTTACCTCTGTTTCCTCCCCCAGTTCTGTCATCCACCTGCTCAAGCCTGTCACGCACCACTTTCCCTTGTGTCTCTTTCCCTATATTCGACCTGTGAGTATCAGATTCTCCAGGCTCTCCTTCCTCATTATGTGTCCCAGAAACTTCAGCGGCCTCTTTCTGATGTTAAACATAAGCCGCCTTCTTGTTTGCAACCTCTCTAAGACCTCATCGTTGCTAACATGCTCAGTCCATGATATCCTTAGCATCCTTCTGTAGAACCACATTCCGTCGCTTTGAGTCTCTTTATCTTTTAGGAAATCGTCCAACATTCACTGCCATAAAGAAGAACAGATGTCATGTAACAGATCAGTATTCTTTTCTTTGTTATCAAAGAAATCCTCCTGTCTTGCAGTACTCTGCCCAACTTTTGAAATGTGTCCTTGGCCATCGCAATACATATATGGATCTCAGTGTCGCACTTACTATCCTGTCAAGACGCTTCCCAGATATTTAAACTTCTGTGTCTACTTGATTCTAGTGTTCTCGACCTGCAAATCACATTTCGGGCTCTTCCTCTTACTGATGACCATCTTCAAAAATTTAAATGCAATGTCAATCATTATCTACTGTCTTCTTGATTCCTCTTTTCTTGTTCTCACAATTTGTACCATATTTACCTTATTTATAGTTGGACTATTATCCTCATGGTTGCTGTTGTCATCACAACATTTCGGACGTTCTGCATTCTGGCCTTCCTCAGGTGTACATCCATCTACAGTGAATTCTGAACTGAACCCTTTATTTAATCTACGGAGTAGACTGTTCTAATTCAACTGCCCATTTCTAGGGATATTTTGTCTAGTTCTTATTTTTAGAGCAGCTCTGTTATTGCTAAATTGTTTCCACTGAGTCTAAACACTGTCCAAACCATTGTTTCATAGCCCTACAGGACAATGGACTAGTGGATTAAAATATCTCTTCTTTCTTTCTTATGATTATCTGTACTTATTAGGAGGCATGGAAGAGTAATGGATAGCAGCTCGGATTGAGGAATTGGAGAGCCAAGTTCAAATTCCAGTCAAATCCATTACATTCACTTACGTGCTAATACCCTTGGGAAAGGTATGAATCCTCTTCTTCTCCACACCCCCAGATATGGGTTCTATAGCCTTGGGTGGTAACTAGTGTAAGAGAAAGTAACTCTGGATTCAAAATTGTAAGTAGACCATCTCAAGTCAGAATCAAAAAATGCTGATTACTGATTCATTTTTTATGGCTTATCAGCCCTTTGCCGGTTATTTAAGGCCAGAAAATATTTTTAGATTGTAAAATAAATTTTTTTTAGATAATAATGGTTTTAATGATAGAAATCTTACTAATTAACCTATAACTGGGGTGTGAGAAGAGGTGGATTCATACCTAATCAGAAATTGATAAATTATCATGTGGATATAAAGTGGGAGTTCAATTCTTTGTTACAATCAATATATAAACTGATCCCTCACTTTGTGGCTACACTAGTTTCTATACATTTATATTCTAGATCATGTAAATAAAACTAAAAGACATGCCTGAGCAGCTAATCAGTATTTGATTGAGTGACTGATTTGTTTTCTATGGCTTCTCAAACTCTTTTCAGGTTATTTTTAGAATGTAAGAATTTTTTTGAGATAATAATTGTTTAGTGATAGAAGTCTTACTAATTAACCCAGAAGCTGGGGTGGGGGAAGAGAAGTGTTGGATTCATGCCTTTCCCAGGGGTATTTGCGCAAAAATGAACCCAACAGGAGTTGAAACTCCGCTCTCCAATTAACAATTCCAAACCATTATCCTTTACGCCACCCACACATCAACCAAGATAAAAACCTGTTCCCTCAGGGAGGCCTTGTGCCTTGAGTGCCTATTGAGACTGAAACTCAACTCAAATCTCAAGTGGTGCTCGTACATACAATCCATTGCTAAATGCTGGAAAAATGGTCAGTTCCCAGTACCACTCCAGTAATTACCTGACTCCTCCTGTTATCCTCTACCTTTAAAAGAGTCAGATCTGGCCTAAAATTGAGTACTGCTGCCATATATAGGCTGGAGCTGCACACTCTTCACTTTCCAGTTTTGTGTCCAAAAGCATCTCCACATCCTTGTGAGTGACAAATTATCTTCTACTCTACAATGTCGCAAGTCTCTCACTGCTCTGTCAGTATTTCAATAAAAAGTGCTCAGACAAATGAAATTCCTTAGTTCCACCAGTTCTAACCTTTATGACTAAAACCCACTATACTACGCACATTACAGCAAACCACCCTCATTCCCTTCATATTCCATTGGTGAGATGTAAATTCCATTCGAGCAGCAGCTTCTCACAAACTATTGCTCTGTGGAACAAACTCCCAAGAGGATGCTTCCTGTTATAACTTATTCCTAGCTTTTATAATATTATGTCTGCTTAGGCACTTGTCATGACCTCTGTTAGAAATTCTCCCAACTGACTCCAGTGGACTGGTGTTTACAAACCTCTCCACAAGGCAGGATGTGACACAAGGTCAATTTTTATGTGGGGTAATTCTGAGCTCATAGGCTTGGGCAAAAATTCCCCGTACTCCCTGCATGCATGGGGTCAGGTTTGTCTACCTCCCCAGATGAGATTCTGCCCATAGGGATAGCTTCGTCTGGGTTCCTCTCTGCAGGCAGAGAGTTTTGACAAGTCAGTCACGAGAAATGGCAGTGAACTGCCTGGCTCCAATGGACTTCTACTGACTTGCTTTGAGTTCTTTATTTAAAGCATCTTACCTAGTTCATTTGTGTTGGGGGGGTATTTACTCCACAACATCCCTATTTTTTTTTTTTTTTTATTAGTAAATATTTTTTTTTATTTCTTAGTATTCACCCCCTCCTCTTTCTGGCAAATTCACCAAAGTACTAAACTTTGTATCTTTCATTTTGGATCTACCTCTAGTTTTCCTCATATGTTTCCTTTTTCTGCTCATCATACTTGTATGTTCAACAAATTCTTGGGGTGTTAGTACATCAAAAATATCATGCAGTACTTGCATAGGGTCTTCCTTTCTTTTGGGCCTTTCTTCAATAAACCTTTTCTTTAACTGATTTCAAAGCCTTTTGTGTTCCCATTTTTTTCATCTACCATATATATCATTTTTCCAATTCATCACCTTATTATGCCATCTTCCTACATTTCTTTTCCATTTTTACATACTCTGAAAAACACTTTTTTGTCAATTTTAAAAAATTTTGTGCCCTTTTCATTATCTGTTCTTATTTTTTTTTTTTTTTTTAACCTGATAATTTTTTGACCAATAATTTAATTCTTCTTACAAATATCAATTCTGCTGCTGACATATCTGATGGTGTATTCGGATTTATCCGGTATACATTCAAGATTTTTTGTAGTTCTTCTTCGCTCACTTTTTCATTACTTGCTTTTTTCAAAGCTCTCTTAAAAATACCCACAAACCGTTCAGCTTGTCCGTTTGACCATGGGTGATACAGCAGGATAGTAAGATGTTCAATTGAGAACATTTTACAAAATTCTTTAAGTTCATAATCAGTGAATTGTGTACCGTTATCTAAGAATATGGCATCCAGAATGCCATATTTTGCAAATAAATCATGTAAAAAATTCACTGTGACTGTGGAAGTTGGTTTTTTGCACTTACAAATTTCAAGCCTCTTAGTAAAGCTATCCACTACCACAAGATAATGTGATCCATTTATTGGACCAACAAAATCTATATGCACTCTTGACCATAGAGTATCTGTCTTTGGCCAAGGTTGTAATTTCATGGTAGGTGATTTTGCTGCCAGAGAACAACCTCTGTAGGATTTTGTTATTTTTTCAATGTGTTGATCCATTTTGGTCCAGTATACATAGCTTTTTATCCTTGAAATTCCCAGATGTCCACTATGAAATTCATTTAATATCCACTTTTGTAATATGCTAAGTATTACTACTCTTTGTGCAAACAGCAGTACTCCATCACATAACAAGTAAGAATTCAAATCTGGATTGCATTTAAAAAATCATCTATCTTTCTTACTTTCTTTTAGTTGTTTTTTTTCTATTTTATACCAAGAATGGTATTTCTGAGAAGGGATGAAAACATCCATGCCAGGTTTGACTCAAGAAGAAACCTCAGTGGCACAATTTTCAATTGGAAGGTTGAAAATATTAGTTCATGGTGTATCACAAAGAAAATCACAGAGTGAGTCCCAATCAGCATGCTGGTGATAGAAAGAGGTCTTATAGATCGGGGGTTCCTGTTTAACGAATGATTGGAACAAAATATCAATAGCTACCACAGAGTAGTCCAAGTTACCATGAGAGCAGTAATGTGAAGCTCAGCAAGAGCGAGGAGAGGAGGTAAGAAATAAATCAAGTAGAGAAGCCTGTTGCTCAGTTTTACTTTGGAAACGAGTAGGTAAGTCCACAATTTGAGTAAGGGATTGGGCAATGGAAAAATTTAATATCTGACTACCAGCAACATCAATATCTTTAGAATGTTTCAGCCACATGTCATGGTAAGCATTAAAGTCACCAAAGACAAATATGTTCACAGATGGATGGAGAAAATGTGCCTTTTCTATACTGTCAGCTATTGCATCTAATATACTGTTGTCTTGGGAATAGTGGCAGAGATAAAGGAAAAAGAGATATCTAACATAACAGAGTTTAGTAAGGAAAGACGGAAGCACAGAAAAGAGTAGTCAGTGGTCTTAAGAGACAATTCCCTGGTCATCGGAAGATTATCCCAGATGTAAACAGCAAGGCCATGCATGTGAATGCTGGAATCTTTTCAGCAAAGGAAAGATAGCCTGAAACCAAGAATTCATTGGAAGCAATAGAAGAATTCATAAAGGGCAAAGATATCTGGCGACCGTTCCAGGAAAAAAGATTCTACACTACAGGAGTTGTAACAAATACCATTAATATTGGAGAAAGAAAAATTGAGGGTTGTAGGTGTTTTTTTTTTGTTTGCTGGTTTAGTTGTATTTCTTTTTTTTGTCATTCCTATGAGATTTTTTTTTTTGAGGCAAAACCAACCACCAGCCAGTTTGTGGTTGAGAACAGAGCATAATGTGGCCTCAGGGTTGCTCACCAGAAATAGATCCGGAGATACCTACCCATGCACAACATGGCACTACAGATACCCCAATATTATGCGACTGTTGATCGGAGCAGCCTCTCTAAGTGCTATCAAAGAGTTTGGGCTCCTAACAATCAGTTGGAAGCAGCAGCCAGCTAGTTGTGAAGACACTGCCAAGCCAGTCCCTTCACAATGAAAAGTCACAGACACTGGTTAATCTGATCACCAAAAAGTTAAAAAAGTCAAATCATTGAGGACCTGGTAGAAGAAAGAGCGAACAAGTAAACCATATCCTGATCAAGGAACAAACTTCTACTTCTGTTCAATAGACACATGGAAGTAGTGTAGGCCAAACAATAGGTGACCCTATCTACTCCTATTAATCTGTAAGAAGAAGCACATAAGCATGACAGAATTCATATTAAGTTATGATTTACTAAAGTTCTGATGTCTACTACCAACTGAAAAAGGGGGGGGGGGCAGTAAATCATAGTTCACTCTTGTTGCATCAATTTTTCAGCATAGATAAGTGACACTAGGTATACATATTCTAAGTTAAGCAAGTTGGGAAAAGAGGCCGAGATAAAGATTTGGTTTGGTTTGTTTTACAGCATATCAACCTCAATAGGTTATTTAATACCGACAACATATTTAGGATTGATTCGTATGTATTCTTTGGTTTAGATTGGTTTCGTTTATTTTGTTTTACAGCATATCAACCTCAATGGGCTATTTAATGCCAACAACTTTTTTTAGGATATATTCATATGAATAGAATATGTATTCATTGGTTTAGATTGGTTTGGTGTATTTTGTTTTACAGCATATCAACTTCAATGGGTTATTTAATGCCGACAAATTTTTTAGGATAGATTCGTATGAATAGAATATGTTTGGTTTGGTTTATTTTGTTTCACAGCATATCAACCTAAATGTGTTATTTAATGCCAACAACTTTCTTTCCCGGTAATATTTTGTTTTGTTAAAAATTTATTTCTGGTAACAATTTTTTACAAAGTATTTCTAGTATTAAAACCTATTTTTACACTTTTATAATGCTTTTTACCTTAGTTTCAGGGTTAACTATTTGCCCATAGCTGGGACCCTAACAGCTGCTACCACCCTGTGTCAGGGTGGACCTGGGAACACCAGCAATTAAGAGGTGGTTCCACGCTCCTCAAAACCTCCTGATCAGAGGCCTTGCTGTTGGACATAGTTTATCATCTTATCCTGGATGTGAATGTAGTTTATTGTCATACCCAGGACGGGGCTGAGGTAAAGAGTTTGAGAATAATTTAATAGCAATGGAGAGAACAATATACACAGCTGAAGGAAAAATAGGTTGAAAACATCAGAAACAAAAGCAACAAACAAGGAAAATAAAAAATATAACATTAAAAAAAGACATTTAAACTAAACATTTACAACAACAAAATTTCATAAGGCACTGTAACTTACAAAGGACTCTACAAGTGCTTTATCCCAATCTTAATTTTTTTTTTTAGCTTGTCTTCAGTACATCTTACGGAAATGTGATAGGTACATATATCAGTTTGAACAGGGCAGAGATGAATGCAATAAGTCTACTTTTGCATTAAACTTCCGCCATTAACTTAATCAGCTATTGTCACAAAAAGGCCCTTTTGTGACAATAGCTTTGTGTCCCTTTTTCAAAAAGGACCACAAAACAAGGATCCATTTTTTCATCATAAAAACATCTTGTAAATTAAAATTGAATCCCCAATCACGGGTTTCCACTTAAAACCTCATTTTTCTCTAACAATAAACATCAAAATATCCCCAAAGTAATTAAAGTCATATTCAGATAAAGCAAGTTAACTTGCATCGAAAAAATATATTCTCCTACAAAATTACTTATGTTAGCTGGAACCGATTCTTAAAAAATAATTTGTTAAAAAAAGAAAAAAACGGTAATAAAAGTCAATGCTATTTATCTCCCCTCATCAATTTTTTTTACTCTGTTATCAAAGTCTATCTAGCTAAAAAGTTACTAAAATAAAAAAATAAAATCGAAGTATAACAGCAATTTTACTCATAATTTCCAAATAATAATTTCCCGGATGACGATCTTCTACTAACCCAAGGGTCATTAGTCTTCTGTCTGGTCAAAATGACAAAACAAATTTGGCGGGAAATCGATATATGATAGTGAGAAAAATATTGCATGTTAATATCGTTACAAATTTGTGCTTTTATTTAATAAAAGACTAAGAAGAGATTGAAGAAAATTATGATATAGAAATTATTTGTTTAAACACTTAAAAAATAAACGGAGATTTTTGTGTCTGAAATGCTAACAGTGGAACAAAGCTTTTCTTTCAAACAAAGTTACAAAAACAATAACAACATCGATGTACAAACAAAAACATCGATTTTAAAATTCTACAAATAATCAACGAATTATTGAAACTTAATAAAATTTTCGGGACTTAAATAAAAATTGTTTCTAGCAAAAAAGAAAAATAAACAACGAATTTCATTTTTTTTATCGAATGAAGGCTAATGAAATTTTTTTTAATTAGAATTTTTTTATTTCACACAATGAAACTTATTTCGAGAAAAAAAATGTTAAAACATTATACAGTTAAATGTTTAACATATTTTTTAACTTAAAATATTGAATGAATTGAAAAGGAACATTCTTAAGTTTAAAAAAAACAAAAAACTATGTATGTACCTACTGGCTGATTTGATCAAGATGAGGAAAATAGCTGATCAAGTGTTTGATAAACAAAACAAAAAAAAATCTGTTTCTCTATTGTTTTTGAAAATCGAAACTCCTATCTAACAAAATGCCAATCATTCTCTCTACAAATTAAAAAACCAAAAATGCATTTTACTGTGAAAAGTTAAGCAGACAATATGATTTCTTTCAAATTAACATTTTTTTTTTTTGTTGGGAAGTTGAAGATAACTATGGGAGTTTCAATACTTCGCTAAAAAAAAAAAAAAAAAAAAAAAAGAGCATACCCTGATGAAAAAAGGCCCCAAACTTGATGAACAATTTTTTTTATTGTCTAAATGTTTTTCTTATTATTAAGAGGAAAGACCAAAGTATGTTTTGATTATTTTTAAATTTAAAAAAAATTTTCCTAATACGTCCGAATTATAAGTTAAAAATCTTGTTTTTTTTGAGTCAGCAAAAAGAAAAAAAAAATAGATCATGACAACAATCATTTGACTTTTTAAACAAAAGTGAAATTCTGTTTAAAAATCTTGTAAAAATCAATTATACTGTTCTCAAAAGTTATTTTAGAAAAATTAGAAAATTTAAAGTTTACTTAAATGTAATTGGAAAAAACATTACTTAATTTTTTAATAGAAAAAAAATTTAGTTGAAAATTAGAGAGAAAACAAGTGTCTAAAAACCGTTACTTAGTTACTAAAATTAATTATGCATTTAAAAATTAAATTTCAACAATGATAAAAAAAATTAAATAAATTCTTATTTACCTTTGTTCCGTGAAATGTGGTGATAAACAATTTTTTTTATTTAAGAAAACTGGAGAAGCACTAATTACAAAAAAAAATTTGTAAAATCACTTTTTTTTTTTAGAGTAGACAATCTGTTTAGAACGGTTTGCCGAGGAAAGAAAGTCACATGAAAAATTACCAATACAATTTGTCAGCTAAAAATTAGTTATTATATTATATTTGCAGATATTTAATAATTTAATAAATTCGAAAAAATATTTTCTCGCAATTTAAATGATGCTAAAAAGAAAATAAACTTTCAAACACTTTTTTTTTCTCTAATCTTAAAATAAACGAAGAATTTAACTCTTCCACGTGGTACGAAAAGCAAAAAGTTTTTTTGAACGAAAATAAATGAACATGAGAGCCTACAAATAAATTTCTAAATAAATCTATTTTTCTTTTTAGGAAAAACTGACATTTAAAGAAATGACACAAAAAAGTAAAACACGTTTTTCTTTCGCAAACGACAGTTTGTTTTGTTTCATTCCCGCCGGTGAATCGTCAGATTTTCCCTTACATACAAAATGGCCGCTTAAAAAAAAGGACGAACCACTTTCTACGTTTTTTAAAATTCAAACATATTTATAAAACATTAGTAAGTCACCGACCTTCTTAAAGTTACTATTTTTACTTGGTAAAATATTCCTTACTAATACCGCAAATAAGCCTACTTTAATTTTTAAATATACATAAAGTGTTCCGAAACTTTTTTTAATTTTTTTTTTTTTTAACAATAAAACAATTTATTTTTAAAAGTTGTCTTCAAGGACAATTTATCAAGTGGATAAAGACGTTGGTTAGATCCTGTGACTAGATCCAAAGAGTTGTGAGTTCAAAAACTTGGAGAGTTGCGTTAAAGGGAAATAACTGAGACATCCACAAGAGGCATGGCACGTGGAACTAGAACAATCTACCCCAGTGGACGAAATAAAGGGTTTGGTTCAGAATTCCAATCACCTGAAGAAGGTAGGAGAGTACAACGCCTGAAACATGAATATGCCAATGAAGATGAGGATAACAGACCAAATAATGTAAATAATGCAAGTAAAAAAATTGGTATTGTTAATTTTTAGTGTTTCAAATGAATTCTGCTTGTTAAACACTGATTTAGCTCCATAACATATAGCATGATTTTTTAAAGTAGTCTTTTAGTAACCCTTCTTTTATTTTCAAACATTTCTTGAAATCTGATTGGTTATTAAATACACAGTAAGCTTCTAGAAACCTTCATCGCAAATCAGTCAATTTTTGTGCAAAAGTAGGCTCAATCTACTTGAAAAACACCTTCTCTAATTTTCCCCTAACTTAAATGCCTCATAAAATTCCATTGGTTAAAAAATAGAAAAATAAAATCTCGCCCATGCATTTCTTGGAATTAGCAGCTGCGTCTACTGAATTTCCAGTGAGCCAGTTTAATTATTGAAAAAGCTATAAATATGAACAGCAATCAAGTTTCTATGCAGAGAGAGAGAGAGAGAGAGAGACTCAGAGAGAGAACTTAATTTTATGCTGATCAGAGACTGCCTTTTTGGAACAAACTTCTTTTCTGAAAGATTTGGAAAAATACTCTGCATCACAATTCACTGTTTTCAACAACTCATTGTGACAAAACTTTTTCCACAAGAATATCTTTCTCAGAAAATTTTTGTCTAATTTAATTTTTATTAATCTTGACTTTTCTAGTTAAAGGTAGACAATTTTCACTTACTTGAAAAATTGTAAATTTAAAATTTACACTGCAACAGTATTTTAAATTTCTAATAACAATTTTATTCTCAAACTGAACTTTTAATTAACAATGTTCAGAACTTTCTGCATTTAACATTTCAAACCAGCAATGAGAATCTTTTCTCCTAAATATTCTCTGATCAATTTTATGCACATGTCATTACAACACAAATTGTAAAATTCTGTGCATAAAAATTTTATTTGTTGTTCCGCGCCAATTCTTTTGTCATGATTGCATATCGTTACCTATTGACTTTTTCTTTGAAATTTATGTTTGTGGATGTTACATGTTTCATTTGCAGTGAAACACTAAAATATTCATGTAGCCTTTTCAGATCCACTACAGTCTCATATTTGGAATTCTTCTTTAAAATTTATGAAACCTGAAAGTGTAAGTGGAAAATCAGAAATCCTGAAGTATATTTTTGGTTTGGTTTTTATGGAAAAATAATTGAAATAAATTAAGGCAAAGTTTAACATTCGTGTCTGCAAAAAGATGTATGTCAAAAGGACAGTTTTTCCCATGACACAACTATTATTTTATCATACTTTCACTCCCTTGGCAATATTTATTTATAGGATTATAAAAATAATCATAATCAATGAATCAAGCATAATGCAATAGTTACTACTTACCTTCGATAAAGATTTATTAGTTAACATTTTATACAGAGATAAATTGAAAAAAGATATCTTTTTATTCAAAAACTTTCTAAAAATTACAAAATTATCAAAATATGTAAAATCATCTACTGTGCAATATTTATCATTTTATTTATCATTTTATAAGTAACTATGAATATAAGTTTTATAAAAAGATATAGGTTATCTTTCCTTGGTTGATAAGAACTCTGGAAGGAGAGAGATGAGTACATTTATCTGGTAATATTGGGTAAGACCCAAATTTAGGTGACAAATGGATTTGAGCGCCAAAGGTGAGAGAGAAAGAGATCTGAAGACCACCAAGGAGAAAGGACACATTTTAGCCTACTCCAAAGAACAGGCAATGCTGACAACAAGCAAACCTGAATTGATGTGTTAATGCATCAACAAATAGACATTGGAAGAAGAGATATGATCAACTTCCAGTGTTTTAATCCATGTCAGATTCATGGATTGGACTTCATCCCCAATGTCCTGACATTAACTGCTATAGAAATATATTTAGCAACTCTCTCTTCTCTTTCTCTTTGTATAGATGTACTATTCATATAAAAGTATGTCTTTAAGCATGTGCACGTGGCTGATTGGTTAGAATGTTCGGATTCTGACCATGAGACCCAGATTCAGGTCTCACCGTGGTTGATTTGTCAGGAAGGAGACTTCCTCATGTTATAGGACTATTTTAAAATATAAAAAACAGAAGACTAAAAGTTGGCAAACCATTTTGGTTTGCCATAAAGAAATAAAACAAAAAGATAAAAAAATAGAAATAAATAAAATAGGCTAAAAGGTCATCCTACCTAAATGGAGGTGAAGAAAAAGGGATGATCAAATGAGTCCTGTGAACCAATCAAAAATCAAGAGACAATACAGGCATGAATTTCTTTATCTCGAAAAAGTGATAAACTCAGAGACAACCAGTAAAGGCAAACAGAGATTCAATAAAATATTTTGTCTGTTCTTCCATGCCTACATTTTTGGAGACTCAAAAATCCCATAGAGAGTCAAAAGGATTACTACTATCAAGAGATACTTACATACATACACATTTACAAGGACTCTCTTCTCTCTCTCTCTCATATGCTAAAGGACTCTCTTTTCTCTCTATATATTATATACTAAAAGACTCTTTTCTCTATTATATGCAAAACAACTTCAACATAAGAATTTTCTCATATGAACTTATGAACTCCTTGAATGAATAGGAAAGTGATTCATTGCGCCTTCTTGGGCTAACGTTCTCAGCCGACATGAAGTGGAAAGACTATATTGAATCCATTGCTAGGTAAGATGCTTAGAAAGTTGGTTCACTGTGTCATGTGAGACAATTTTTCTGTACAAAATCAATCATATCTATAACTCTACCATTTTCCCATGCTTAGAATATTGCTGCCACATATGGTCCAGTGCCCCTGCTATTTACCTTGAGCTCCTTAATACAATCCAAAGAAGAATCAGCAATATTATTGGTCCTGATCTAGTGGTTCAGCTTCCGTCACTTTCCCACCACTGTAACGTTGCCTCTCTATGCCTTTTCTATAAATAATTGTTTGGATGAACTCTTCACTATGGTACCTAGACAATTTGAATTTAAGCACAGTACCAGACTGGCTTCAAGATCTCATTAGTATGAAAGGATCTGGAAGAGTGGCCATTCAGGCTCCAGAATCTATCTGACATATCTATAAGTCTACTATTCATCCATGCTTAGAATATTGCTGCCACATATGGTCCAGTGCCCCTGCTACCTTAAGCACATTGATAAAATCCAAAGAAGAATCAGCAATATTATCAGTCCTGATCTGGTAGTTCGAATACAATCACTTTCCCATCACTGTAAGGTTGCCTCTCTATGCTTAGAATATTGCTACCACATATGGTTTGATGTTCCTGGTATTTACCTTGAGCTCCTGTGTAAAAATTGGTTGGATGCACACACAGGAAAAAAAGTTAATGCAAGTCCAATAGGTCCACTAGGCAAATCGAATCCACACTTCTCCCCATATCTCAATCTCCAATACGCCATTCCCCGTTAGAAGTGAAAACAAATGCTCTTGAATGAGCATACCATGCTTTTATACACTTGACCCAGCCATCACTCAGCTAATGAGTGCCCAGAACCAGCCAATAAAAATGGCTACAAGCGACACCACCACTTCCGTCCACATGAAGGGCTGCTCAACTAACCATTCGTTCAAAGCTCCCCAATTCACCATCACACCCCCTTGCAAAACATACATGCAACTCTGGCTCTTTTGAGTTGCCAAGGTAAGTCACTGCGACAGCTCCTTGACGAAATCCAAAGAATCAGTAATATTATTGGTCCTTATCTGGCATCTCAACTTCAGTCACCACTATAAAGTTGCCTCTCTTTGCCTTTTCTATAAAAATTTCATAGTTATTGTTTATGGTACCTAGACTTTATGAATTTAAATGCAGTACTAAACTGGCGTTGAGATCTTATCAATTAACAGTTGAGCTGGCTAGATGTAACCATAAATTCTATGTTAACAGTTTCTTTTCTCAACTTCTCGCTTGTAAAACTGCCTTCCAGTTCCATGCTTACCAGCGAACTTTAACCTGCAAGTTTAAACACAATGTCAATTGCTATCTACTGTCCTCTTGATTACTCTTTTCTCTTCCCAGTCATTAGTAATGCTTCTGCTCCTAATTCTTCCAACCCATTAACCTCTTGTGTTATAGTGGTTTTACTGCCTTGCTTAGGGTGAAATTAAAAAAAAAAAAATTCATATGTTGGATATATTGTTACTACTCCATCACATAGGTTAACTTTCCATTTGTCCAGTGAAAGAACTGTTTATGCTCATGTTTGGGGGGGCAGAAGGGCATCATCAGATTCTTGAAGCCCTTATCATAAAATCCAGAAACAAAAACTAAGATCTTCAGTTTGAGAACTGGAATTTGAAATGTGTTTTGCAACTGATGAATACATTCAGTCCCAAAAAATCTTCTACCATAATGCATAAATATCAAATGGCAAATTTGGGCAATATTTATGCTCATTGGGTTTAAATATAAATTTCTCTTGAATGAAAACAAGTTAACAATTTTAAAAAAAAAAAAAAGTCTTTAATCAAACATTTATTTATCAAGGGCTGCTACCTAAATTTACATAATGAAAATGAAAGGGTAAAGACATTTTATTTTGATTTTTCAGCCTTCTTCAGGAATATTTATTTTAATTTTCCTCCTCTACAATGACAAATTGATCTTTGCTGCTGGTATCTGTGATGAGGTAAAGGGTTACTGACTTCAATTGATTCTTAACCACATAGAACCAGCTAACAAAATATCTCAAGTGAAAATTTCATTGTCCTCAATGTTTTTACTCTGGCATTGAATTGGATCATGATTCAAAACAATTCATAGAAGATGAAGCAATGATTGTTCTGAAGTACCTGATGAGATATGAAATGGTTTGTCTCTTGGGTTTTTATAATCTAACAGGAAATCAAAGTGATTCAAGACAATTCATAGATGAAGGCAGTGAAAGTATGTCAGAACAACACAATCAAACACATAGTTAGAAATAATAAATTAAAGTCAAATTTATACAATTATTAGAAAACATAACTACACACTAATTTTCATTTAGCAAAGTCACACACATGCCGAACTCTACTCAAAACAAATTTTAAAACAAACACAAATATATACCAAAGTGCTGGCCATTACCTATGTGACTCACTTGCCAAAGATGTCTACATCTATGTCCCTGCATTTCCCTTATATAGGCTATAGAAGAAGCAGAACATTCAGACAGAGAGGAGAGAGAGAGAAAGACTTCATGCATGCATGCTAACCATAAAGGCTACTTGAGAGCACAGCTGACTGCCTGTCTGACCAGTAGGCTGTGAAAACAACCTCCTGTGAACATAGAAAGAGAACACTCCACTATCAATGTGACAAGCCCAAACCGATAGCCAACAAGCAATCAGCCGGATAAGCACATTCCTTTTTCACACACTCATTTCACACCTTGTATACCATACATTTGAATGCTACACTATACAACTTACCAGAGTCATTTTCATATCTTGTAAATAAAAATAAATCTTTGGTCATTTCTCAAAACCAGTGTCTAATTTATTTCTTTACTCCAACGAACTCTCAACTCAGATCAAAAGCAATGTTTATTCTAGTTTGGTTAATAATATGATATTTCATGGATATCATTACAAACACTGAATGTTGATAGTACATCAAATGCGGTGTGAGGATATGACATTTTCTTAAATATTTCCGAGAAGATTAAGTCCTACTTCCAAACAGTTACAGATAATCTTAAGAATGAAATCAAAAACAGTGTCTATCTATAAGAGAAAAAGGATAAAATAAAACAACTAATTCAATAATATTTTTCTTGGATTTATTCCAAAATATTTTAAACTACAAACAGTTTCTTCTCTTCTTAGCCTAAGAAACTGCATATGAATATCACATACAGTATCCAGACATACTACTGATGATTATTATATACTGTCGACTGTCGGGCCCTGTCGGCGTTGCTTCTTCAGAGAATGCTCGCGTTTTACTTTGAGAACTGACTTTTGTATCTTTGCAATTCTGAAAAAAAGAAAAAAGAAAATTTTAAAATCATTGTTAGCTATCAGGGTAGATATGTTACAAGTTTTCGGAGTTTATTCTCTCTTTTTGGCAAAAAAAATATGCCATGTACGTTCAGGATGTATGCGATCATGGTTCTCCACAATTTTCCTGCCCTATGTAGCACTTAATAAATTGGAAAAGTGGGTCAAAAGGAAAGTAAGTACAATCAAAGGTGATTGTCATATTTTTGAAAAGAGTGTCCTTTCAATTTGGTAGGCTGTCTAGAAATATCGTTAAACTTCTTCTGCTGTAGTCAAAATTGATATCTTTTCTTTACCAGTGGGGCTTCCTTCGTTCCTTCCTTCCTTCCATTGGAGATTTTCAATATCAGACCAGCCACATTTATCCAGTACCATATCCAAAAATCTTTTTTCATTTACACAATTTATGTAGGTGTTCGAGTTCAAATTTCAAGCAAGTGTTACTTTTGACAGGTGTTGTAACCTAGGAAAGGTTACTGAATGCGGAATAGCCAAAACGGAGGCTGGGAATGAAATGGTAATCTTTATAAAGAAGAGGCATGGTGGAGTAATGGAAAGTAGAGTTCAAATTCACCGACATATGTATCACGCATGGCACATAACTGACTGACTGAATCTTTATAACAATATTGTCCAACATATTTATTAGACCGGAACGTACCTATTTCTATTGTAAATAGACTCTCCCACAGATAAGTAGTAGTAGTAGCAGTTGCCAGTGGAGCTCAGTGAGTTGTGTGAGTCAGTCGATGTCAGACATTAAAAGTATCATCACCACAACTAGATTGCTGCGTCATTAACTATTATTTCAAGTTCCTAACGTTTTGTACGTCGAACCTAATTTAGGACCGACTTAATGAAATACAAGCCTCCACTGTGAAAACTACTCTACAACAACTTGAGACATACCCATTAGTGTTCATAGGTACGGCTTCCCAAATTGGAAATTCAACACAAAAATAAACTGGTTCATTCATAAAAATTGGGTAAACCTTTTTAAGAAATAATTTTTTTAGATTAGAATTCTTTAGACTTTCCTTAGGCTGCAACATTTGTCAGAATGAAAAAAAAACCATTAACACTTTATCATTTTTTTTAATCATTTCATCCCAAACAAGATAATAAAGTCACTCAGATGCAAGGGGTTACTGAGTGTGAAAGAATCTGAGAGAAAAAAAACATTATTAAAGAGAGAGAACAATAAAAGAACAGGAATTAAGAAGACAGAAGATAACTGACATTGCATTTAAATTTTTGAAGATCAAAGTTAGCTGGAAGGTAAGAGGCTGAAAGAGAGTTCAACAAGCAAAAAGTGCAAGAAAAGCAACTGTTAGCATAAAATTTACGGTTTTATCTAACCAGCTCAACTGAATATTGATAAGATCTCGATGCCAGTCTTGTACTGTGCTTAAATTCTAAAGTTTAGGTATTATAGGAAAGACCTCATCTGAATAATTATGTGGCAGACGTGATGAGACAGAACCTGGGATGAGCACAACTGGTTGCGACTTGCCTTGTCCCCGCCAAAAAAAGAGCCCATATTTGCTTAGCATGTAAAGCTACTGCAGTTGAAATAAGGGAGAAAAAAGCACTTACTGCTCTGCCGTAATCGATCCTCGGCCAGATAACGTAAAAGAATGAGGGGGGACTTGCATTGCATTTTTATGCAATAAATATGCAATGCATTATGGGACAGGGACACAATGAATTATGGAATCGCATGAAGACGCAAGAGATTATGGGTATATGGACAAATATAAAAGCAATTAATTTTTCCCGGTGGGGGGTTCTTGGAATGACGTTCACGGTTGGTGGCTGGAAAAGTCTGTTAGTGCGATTTTGAGACAGGCCTCAAGAAGGAATGACTTGAAGTTGGAATACCAGCTGGTAGAGCTTGAATTTACTCGCTGGTTGCTGTTTTCTTTTTATTTCACCACAAATTACCATGAAAGTTTTCTATAGAAAAAGCACAGACAGGCAACCTTAAGATGGTAGGAAAGTGACTGGAGCCAAGACAAGAACAGGACCAATAATATTGATGATTCTTCTTTGGATTTTATCGAGGAGTCCTAGATAAATGGTAGAAGCACCAGACTATATATGGCAGCAATATTCCAAGCAAGGACAAATAGTAAACTGAAAAATCTTTCAAGAATTAAGGATCCTGATTATAAGCAAAAAACTTGCAATTATTGACATCACTTTAATGCAACAAAATGTAAACACATTACATCAATAATGTCACATTAACTCTGCTCCATTTACAATGTGTTTAGCACAGAAAAGTTGGGTTATTTTTTTTTTTTTTTTTTTTTTTTTTACAATGAAACACCCATAAAAATTGAAATAAAAAAAAGAAAAAAAAAAGAAAAAAAAGAAAAAAAAAAAAAAAAAAGAAAAAAAAAAAAAAAAAAAGAAGAAAAAAAAAAAAAAAAAAGAAGAAAAAAAAGAAAAAAAAAAAAAAGAGAGGTTTTTCTGCTTCAACTTCAAGTTGAAAGTGGAATGTCTTTGTTATCTAAGGGGGAACAATGCCACTAAGCAAGTAGAGGCATATTTTGCCGTGGAGATGCAAAGGCTGTGGTACAGATTGTACTGGCATGGGCATCCCCATTTGATGTTCATCATCATCTTTACAATATTGTTTCTTAATTCAACCTTAGCTCAAATATTTACCAATGCAATATGCAATTTCCTTGGGTATTTTAAAGTCATAGAGTCTGTAAAGAGATTATTCAAACATTAACTTAAGAAATGAGATTCATCAGTTTTGTGACATACGGTGGCTGTTAATAATTAAGTATAACTCAAGACTTCAATATTAAATAAAACAGTATTTAATTATAACTGCAAATAAATACTTAACAAGAACAAAGAAATAAAAAACTAGGAGCTATGTTGTTCAGTGATTTGGCTGAGTGTAAAAAGCTGTGTCTTCACTTGAACTTCTTTGTCATTGGTTCACAGCCGTGGAGTGGATGACGAGGATCAGTTTCCTGCTTCAACTTCTGGAAGTGGACTGTTCTTCTCATGTAAGTGGGAACAATGTCACTAAGCAAGCAGAGGTCATCTAATTTGGTTGGCTTGAAACAAACAGTGTTTGTTATGCAAGAGGTGTTTAAGGCAGGGTCAATTTTCTTTGTGCGTGATGATCTGCTCCCCACTGGTGAGATATATTCTGCCATGGAGATGCAAAGGGCTAGGGCTGTGGTGTGGATTGTACCAGCATGGGCACCCCCATTTGGTGTTCACCAACTTCTTTAGGATGTTGTTCCTTGATTCAACCTTTGTCTTTAGTCTTTGCTATGTGGTCCTTGTATGTAAGGGATCAGTCCAGTGTGACCCCAAGGTAGATAGGCTTAGGAGTGTGCTCTAACCATTTTCCATACCATATTCTATCCTCTATTACTATTTGGATCACCATTTCTACTCTATCCTCTATTACTATACGAAACACTATTCTCTACTCTCTTCACTATTCTATTTCTCTATTCAGATCATTATTCGGTGGTTACTTGGTTTGGTTTGGTTTTATGCAGAGCTGAAAGTTTGAAACAGTCCAGAGTGATGTAACATGATTAAAGAGAGCAAGACCACACTAAAAAGAAGGCATCAAATATTTTTTTTTTGTTTTTGCTTTTATAAAATGCCAGGTTTGGTTTGGTTTGTTTTGTTTTATGGCATATCAACCTCAATGGGTCATTTAATGTTGACAACTTTTTTTTTTTCCTGATAATATTTTTGTTTCGTAAAAAATCTATTTCTGTTAATATTTTTTTCCTCAAAAATCTATAGCTGGTAATATTATTTTTTCACAAATGTATTGCTGGTAATATTTTTTTTAAAAAACATATTGCTGGTAATATTTTTTTTTTCTCCAAAAATTTATTTCTGGTAATAATTTTTTACAAAGTATTTCTGGTATTAAAACCTATTTTTACACTTTTATAATGCCTTTTACCTCAGTTTCTGAGTTAACTATTTGCCCATAGCTGGGACCCTAACAGCTGCTACCACCCCAGGTCAGGGTGGATTTGGGAACACCAGCAATTAAGAGGAGGTTCCATGCTCCTCAAAGCCTCCTGATCAGAGGCCTTGCTGTTGGATGTAGTTTTATCGTCTTACCCTGGATGCGGATATAGTTTATCGTCATACCCTGGATGCGGATATAGTTTATCGTCATACCCTGGATGCGGATATAGTTTATCGTCATACCCTGGATGCGGATATAGTTTATCGTCATACCCTGGATGCGGATATAGTTTATCGTCATACCCTGGATGCGGATATAGTTTATCGTCATACCCTGGATGCGGATATAGTTTATCGTCATACCCTGGATGCGGATATAGTTTATCGTCATACCCTGGATGCGGATATAGTTTATCGTCATACCCTGGATGCGGATATAGTTTATCGTCATACCCTGGATGCGGATATAGTTTATCGTCATACCCTGGATGCGGATATAGTTTATCGTCATACCCTGGATGCGGATATAGTTTATCGTCATACCCTGGATGCGGATATAGTTTATCGTCATACCCTGGATGCGGATATAGTTTATCGTCATACCCTGGATGCGGATATAGTTTATCGTCATACCCTGGATGCGGATATAGTTTATCGTCATACCCTGGATGCGGATATAGTTTATCGTCATACCCTGGATGCGGATATAGTTTATCGTCATACCCTGGATGCGGATATAGTTTATCGTCATACCCTGGATGCGGATATAGTTTATCGTCATACCCTGGATGCGGATATAGTTTATCGTCATACCCTGGATGCGGATATAGTTTATCGTCATACCCTGGATGCGGATATAGTTTATCGTCATACCCTGGATGCGGATATAGTTTATCGTCATACCCTGGATGCGGATATAGTTTATCGTCATACCCTGGATGCGGATATAGTTTATCGTCATACCCTGGATGCGGATATAGTTTATCGTCATACCCTGGATGCGGATATAGTTTATCGTCATACCCTGGATGCGGATATAGTTTTATCGTCATACCCTGGATGCGGATATAGTTTATCGTCATACCCTGGATGCGGATATAGTTTATCGTCATACCCTGGATGCGGATATAGTTTATCGTCATACCCTGGATGCGGATATAGTTTATCGTCATACCCTGGATGCGGATATAGTTTATCGTCATACCCTGGATGCGGATATAGTTTATCGTCATACCCTGGATGCGGATATAGTTTATCGTCATACCCTGGATGCGGATATAGTTTATCGTCATACCCTGGATGCGGATATAGTTTATCGTCATACCCTGGATGCGGATATAGTTTATCGTCATACCCTGGATGCGGATATAGTTTATCGTCATACCCTGGATGCGGATATAGTTTATCGTCATACCCTGGATGCGGATATAGTTTATCGTCATACCCTGGATGCGGATATAGTTTATCGTCATACCCTGGATGCGGATATAGTTTATCGTCATACCCTGGATGCGGATATAGTTTATCGTCATACCCTGGATGCGGATATAGTTTATCGTCATACCCTGGATGCGGATATAGTTTATCGTCATACCCTGGATGCGGATATAGTTTATCGTCATACCCTGGATGCGGATATAGTTTATCGTCATACCCTGGATGCGGATATAGTTTATCGTCATACCCTGGATGCAGTGGTTACTTGTCGAGCAAGTATTATCGAACAAGTACTATTAGTGCGATTGATATTTGAAGGCATCTGACACCAGTATTGTCAAATGGCCTACTATAGTTGTATCTGCGATTACAAAGTCTCTACTAAAACTACCATTACAAAACTGACGAGTATTCGTTGGCATTACGAAAGTGGCAACATGTGTTCATTGACATCACAAAAGAGAGTTCTGAAAAGTACCAACCTTTCAGAGTGGAACTTCTTCTCCTCAACAGTTGGCTCTTGAGGCTGATAACTGGCATTAAATATAATTGTCCTCAGTTTTTGTAAACAATCAGCTTGATTTAAAAGTTGCTTTCTGGTTCGATCAGAGTTGATAAACATGTAACCATTCTTGTTTATTCTGCCTTTCTCCTGAGATAAAAAAAAAAAAACAGAAGACAACAACGACAATGATTTATATCAGAATAAAAATGCCAATTATACACTAAAAGAGAGATGGGGAGAAGAAAGAGGAGATAGGAAAGAAATTCAAGTTTGGTTGATAATAAAAAAGAAGGGGAAAGAGAATAGAGGACAACTGGGGATCAGGGGGAAGAGAGAGAGAGAGAGGGCAAAAGGGAGGAAGAGAGAAAAAGAGGGAAATGAGAGAGAAAAATAGTGGAAAAGAAACAGATACTCACATTTTCTAGAATTTTCGGTTTGACCCAATCTGGTATCCAATCTGCTGATTCTACATGGAATCGGATTTCAACTTTTGTATTAACTGAAGTAAAAATATAAGTAACAACAAATGTGACAAATGGTCTTTGTTTTCTTAATCATTTCATCCCAAGCAAGGCAATAAAGCCACTAAGACACAAGAGGTTACTGAGCAAGAGAGAGAGAACAATAAAAGAACAGGATTTAAGAAGACAAAAGATAAAGATTGAAATTGCACTTAAATGTTTGAGGATCAAAACTTGACCAGAAAGCAAGAAGCTGGGAGAAAGTTTCACAAGCAAGAAGTGTGAGAGAGCACTGTTTTATCGATTTCCCAAGGATACCATAATGACTTATTTCCTGAATAGAAAGTGAACAAACTGTAGATGTGACTCTACTTCACCTTTAAGCTTCTATGTCCAAGTTGACAAAAATAGAAAATATGTGTCCGCCAACAGCAATTGAACCTGTATCCTTCACAGGACCGCCTGACATGCTATACCAGTTTGGCTACAGAGGAGCATCTGGTTAGCAAGATTGATTTTACTGCTTTTAAACTACAATTTTCCATGATTACTCTCAAATGATCATATCAGCTCGAAGTGTATCTAAACATAAACAAATGATGTCACACACTACGAAATGGACAAAGTCCAATAATTATTTTAAGATATTTTATTGTTATATATGACAGTTCTGTGTAGGATGCAGGTTCAATTCCTGTCCGAGGACACTTATTGTCTATGAAAATTTCTTTGTGTCCTTTATGTGTAGAACAATAAAATATCTTAATATATATATATATATATATATATATATATATATATATATATATATATATATATGTGTGTGTGTATGTATGTATGTGAGAGGTTACTATGGTGTTTGGACTCGTCAATGCCAATCTTTCTAGAAATGGTATCTCTCGATAAAACACCATATACTTAGACTACTGTGAGTGTTTCAGTTGGGCACCAGGAAGACCTTCCAGCCTCATAAAAAAACCTTGCTTGAAATCATTATGACAAGAGATCCTCTGTCAGACAGGACCCACATTGCTTTGCAGGAGATTAATCCCAGTCTTGCCTCAAAAAAAAAAAAAAAAAAACACAGCTAAATATGTATGATCATAACTTCCACATTTTTCCTGTTCCCCTTGTTGGACTTCACTCTGCCATCCACTTATGCAAACTTATTGGGTAGGTTACTGGCTATCTCACTCTACTCCTCCTCTTTTCAATATGTACTGTCAGTGTTGATTTCTCCAAGCCCTCTTTCTTCATTATGTGTCATAGAAATTTCAACTCTTTCTGATTTTAAGTATGCATACTTTTAGTTCCTATGTTGTTTAAAATTTCCTAATTACTCACATTTCTGAAGAACTGCATCTTCAGGTCTTCCTCATCTGTGAGGAAAACAGCCTGCATTCCTCATACAATGCCACATACAAGATTAGATATGATATTGCAGCACTTTTGTTGCCAATAAAATTTTTCTGTTAATACTTTTAGTTTCTGGAAGGTATTTTTCACTATTCCAATACATCACACTTCCCAGATAATAATATCTTTAACTAAGTTTGTGTTCTGTGATAGGAGGGAATCAGGAAGGGGATGGCCTTTGTCATCTCGCATGCAGCAAGAGGCAAAGATCATAGCAAAGAGTTTTGCCTTAGTTAGAAGGCATTTTTCACTATTCCAATACGCATTTAGATTTCTGTGTTACATTTATCATTTTCATTATCTATGATTCCCAGCTCATTAAACTTCTGTACTTGCTTGATTTCAGCATCCCCATTTTGTAACATCACTTTCTACTTTCTCTTTTTCTAACAACCATATATTCTGTCTTCTCACGATTAATTGTTAATACTTTCCTCTCTCTTTACTAACCCTAACCTACAGTTTTCTTTCTGCATTTGTCATATTAAAAATATTTCTCAGTTGTTGAGCACTCTTTTCTTTGTTTCTAACAAAATTTTCTTATTTCCTAATACTTTGCTGTACGAGATCTGGGATTGCACAGGAAATATTTATCGCAGATTACTTCTACAATGCAGAGAATAAATCGCTAAGTTCAGACTCAAACATCGGGGGGGGCAGAAAGAAATGCCGAAAACTTCGATTCAAGCAGGTACTAACTCGCAATGCACACAACCAGTCAGAAAAATAACTCACTCTCCAACAAACGCGGTAGCCAAAATACCCAAATTTCCCCAGATTCAAGAACACCAACTGCTTTTATCGCCTGAGCATTTTTTCCATTCATTGACAGCTGGGAGAGGACGCTCAATTTTTGCATATCAAAATACTTTTATAGTGACTTCTGCAATGGACTTGTTTTTTAATTTAAATATTCCGTCCTCAGCATGTCATGTGGAATACATGCCCCTTTTCTTGGGGTAAGTAATTTTCTTTTTTGCCACATTTTCCGTCGTAGGATACATGCGATGTGTTGTTGCTTGACAAGGTAAGTCGCTGTTTTCTTCGCTATATTTGCTTACCTTTTGGAAGGCAACTTTTGCCATTTCAGTGTGTCTTCTGGTTTTGGTGTCATATTTCCAGCAATTTGATGCAACACTTCCCCAAACAATAATATTTTCTTTAACTAAGTTTGTCCTCTGTGAGGGAGAAATTGGGAAAGGGATGACCTTTGCCAACTAGTATGAAGTTAGAAATAAAGATTGTAGCAAAGAGCTTTGCCTTATTTGGAAGGTGTCTTCCAATGTTTCTATGCACTTTTGGATTTCCGAGTCAAATTTTCCATCTTCTGTTATAACATTTCTCAGATGCCAAATGTTTCCTTATAAGGAAACAGCTAAATATAACCATTACCAATAACTTATATAGGAATTCCTGGAGTTTTCTGTCTATATCTGCCATTGTAAAAACAATTCAGCATTCTTATCTTTATTTCTAGGAAATTTTCCTGTTTCTTAATACTTTGCTTAGCTTCTGGAAGACATGAGGACATTGTCCAGCATTCACTGCCATATAGGAGGATTGATATTACATATAAGTATATCACTCTTCTTTGTTTCTAACAAAATTTTCCTGTTTCTTAATACTTTGCTTAGCTTCTGGAAGACATCTTTCACTATTCGTACATACCTTCAGGTTTCTGTGTTATATTTTCTATGATTTGTTATTAAACTATCCAGATAATTGAATATCTTTACCAATAAAAGAATATTATTTAACAATAAACAGAAAACTTACCTTTATTCACATTCTGACCTCCTGGACCACTGGACTTTAAATATTTGATATCAATTTTTTCTGTGGAATTAAAAATATTTTTTTAGCTTCATAATAAGATTTAAAGAAAATGCAAATCAATTTAAATTGAAACGCAGCAAATATTTATTCAGGTTTCGTGGCATCAATTGATGACTCTAATGTTAAGTTTGACTTCCTTGTTGAGATATGCATGCCACAAAAGACAGGTACAAAACAATCAGGAATAGGATTCTTGAAGATCTGCTGTTGGCATTTGGCAAGAAAAACTTGCAAATATTTTCCACCCAATCAGCTTTCATTAAATCTAACCTTTTTTTTCTGATCCACTTTCGAACTTTGAGTTTCAAATGAACTGACTGGAATAATTATTCTTTTATCTGGAGAAAAAAATTCCAGGGGGAACATTCTTATTCCAACCATCCCTTTTATTAAATATTCAAATGAAACAATTTGTTTGCAGTCTAAATTAAGATATGGAAATAAATTTCCTGAATCTATCCAAATAAAAGGAAGTGTCTGTTTGCTATAGACTCAGAAACAAATGAATGGGTTTCAACCATACTTGACAAACAGATAGCTTATGAAAAGTTAATTTAACCTTTACCATGCTAATTTCTTTCCAGAATTGTTCTCCCTGCCACTTCATTTTTTTTTTTTTTTTGAGGGTGCAAAAACATGAACACCTAGTATGGTTATCATCTTTGACCACTTCACCGTCAATATCTACTTGAGTAAAGCCTTCACAATCATCATCAGAGTCCTAATCAAAGAAAAACACCTGAATGAAGGTTTTGTTGGATATTGATGCAGACATTTTTGTTTACAAAAAAAAAAAAAAAAAATCGCAAAAAAAAATTAACGTGTTTAATCAATGTTACACCTCATGTAGATTCTAGAAGAATTCAAAATGGCGTTGGAAAAAGGAAGTTTAACTTTCTTCCAAAATGGTAATAGGTGATTTCCAGTTTAAAAACCGGAAATAACAGTTAACAAGTGTTTATTTATAGCATCCATCTCAAAGCGACAGAATGCGCCTGGAGTGGCAAAGGGAGAGAATTTTACGGCGACTATTTTCACCTGCAGTGTGGTAAAGGTTAAGTTAATCTTGAAGGTCAGCAAAAGTTCATGAAAGCTAAATATAATGATAAGAATGGTAAATCAGCTTTTGGTAGTAAATTAATGCATGGTCACTTCTCTTGGTAGATTTTAACAATATATACAAATAAAAAGAAGTTTCTGTCCTTTTATTTAGACAAAATTATTTCCTGAGCAATGCCGAGTACATCTGCTGGTATTTAATAAAAGGCGTGTTCTAGATAGATTTCCCACCCACCCCAAAATAAAATAAAAATAATAATAATAATCCTGACCCATCTACTTGAAACTGTATGATAAACAAGGTATGCAAAGTGTTGTAAATGCAAAAGAAAATGAAGATGGACAATAGTCTGTCACCAAACAACTCCACACCATCCAATCATGCCCCATAACCTCACATCACCGAACATAACCATATTTAGTCATGTCATTACTTTTCATCTTAATTCACAGATTTCCAATTTGTTCAGCTTTTGTTTTTCATGGACATGCAAACAATAGCAATTAAGAGGTCATTGCATGCTCCTCAAAATCTCCGACCTTCCATTCAGAGGCCTTCCAAACAGATGTAGTTTATCATTATACCCAGGACAGCCAAACTTTTATGTGTCTGTGTGAGAGTGCATGTGCACACACATGCATGCAAACGCACAGACACATGCACACAATATAAAGAAAATATATAACATGCACTAACGCCCACATTTAATACACATACAAAACTTGGAGATTTTGTCACCTTCAGAAGATGGTGTACTCACCAACTGGAATAATACCAGAAAATTCTTCATCTGTCTTTGCATTTTTCTAAACAAAAAGGAAAAAGGAAAACCTTAAAAATGACATCAATTGTTAGTTTTAAGTGAAATGGAATGAAACCAAAGTCTTGAAATAATATATTGAGATTCAATAAAGTGGGGATAAAGAATTCACAACTAAAATAGATGCCAATTAACCATTTAATTAATCAGTTTCCTTCATATTTTTTAGTCATTCATTGGTATTGATGATTCATTTGGCTATGCCTGGGATTATATAAATCACTTTTTGGTCAATATCTTTTCAAGCTAAAATTTTATAAAATATAACAGTGAAATGTAAGAAAAAGATTAGCAATAGAATGACAAAGACGGTGATGACAAAGCCTATTTTAAGACCAACTTGAAGCATGGTGATCATTTAATAGACAAAGGTATCTGAGATCCTCACATGAAAGGCTTGAACAAATAAGACTGCAATCTAAGAAAGTAGAAGTAAAGGAATGGATTAATTAAACGGTTCATTTTACTCAGGAACTAATTTTGCTAAAATGCAAATATTTTATTTGCATAGATTATTAAAATGACTAAGGGAAATAACCACAGATAAATTGACTCACACTTAAATTGATTTGCATAATTTGCTTTTTAAGCCCCATGCTAAATATCAAATAAAAATTTCCTGAACAGTTTATAGTTAGGTGTAAATTTACATGCTTAATTAAAAAATAGCAAAATTTTGATAAATCTTTTGGAGTTATCAACAATAAAAGTTCAGACTCATTTGCGCAGTTGGCTGCAAGGCAGCCATTACTGGCATTGTTTGCATACATTTGCTGCTGAATAGACTTGCACGCAATATGCGGAAGTTTACCTTGTTAACAGACTTTTTATTGATCTTACTTGCCTCAATTACTGCACAATTAAATACTCATTGCATGCGCAATAATCAAGTCAAGGGATTTCTATTCCACAACACAAATATGCAAATAATATGTAAGCAATGGCTGCCGTGATGTGAACAATTCTGAACTTTAACTGTCGATAACTCCAAAATGGTAGATTTTATCAAAATTTCTTTGTTATTTTTTAAGCATGTACATTTACATCTAAATATAACTTTTCAGGAAATTTTTATTAGATTCTTAGTGCGGGGCTTAAAAAGTAAATAACCCATTGATTTACTGCCCATCACACTACTTTTTTTTTTTTTACCTCACCTCATATTTGTATACTTAATTTTTTTTCTATTGTTGGAGTTGTACAGTAGGCACTGTAACTGAAATAATTATTTTTCAAATTATTTTTTCATATTACTATAAGATCCAATTTTTTTTTTATTAAATTTTAAAAATGTTAATAGGTTTGCTCTAAAAATTTAGTGGAAACTGATTCCCCTATGGAAGCCAAAATAATATATGCTCATGCCACGTAATTTCAGTTTATTTGTATTTTGGAGCAATTTTTTTTTTTCATATACTACTATTGATTAAGTACACCAGACTATATTTTTTTTAATTAAAAAAAAAAAATTATTTTGTTTTGGCTTCCATAGAAAGATTAATCTGCAACGAATCTACATAACAAACTGGCCCTCCCCTATTAACGTTTATAAAATAATTTTATTTTTTTTATATTTATAGTCTAGAGGACTTATCTATAGTAATATGAAAAAAAATCTTTGAGAAAAAAAAAAGATTAATTTCTAGCCGCAGAGCCTATTTTATAACTTCATCCCAGCTCAGAATAGTCACAGGTCAGGCAGATATTCCATCTTGATTGAAGAATTAATGGTTACATATACAAATAAACAAAAATTGTTTCATGAGCATAATCATCACAAGCCCCATAACCCATTAGTCATAGTGGCACCACATGTACTGTATCCGCAGCAGAAGTGGTGTGTACTGGGCAAGACTGCCTGATTGAGGCATTCTTGAGGCTGTTTTTGAATTCAGAGTTTTTCCTTCCAAAAGCCAACCAAGGCAATAGGACCCAGTTTGTTTAGCTATTTAACCCATAACTGGAGGGAGAAGAAATGGATTCATACCTTTCCCAAAGGAAAAGTGATTGTAATGAACGCGACTGGAATTTCAAACTTGGCTCTCAGATTCATCAATCCGAGCTGTTATCCATTATTCTATCATGCTTCCATAAATTACCTAAATAACAAGTAGTAACTAACCATTAACTGTAAAACTTAATGCATGGATGTCAGCAAAAGAGACAGCACAAGTTGCAATTACACATTGGGGATGTCAAAATCAAGCAAGTTCATGAATTTAACTATGTGGTATATGAAGTAACAGAAGAGAAAAAATGTAACACAAAAATGCAAATGTGCATAGAAATAGAAAAAGGTGCCTTCCAGAAACTAAGCAAAGTATTAAAACATTGGAAAATATAATTAGAAAGGAAGTAACATTGACATATCTAATCTTCTATATGGTTGTAAAAATGCTGGACAAACTTGAAGCAATAAAAGTGTGATTTTACTGCCAAGTGGTCAGAATATCAAAGACAGATGTGATCAACGAGGAAGTTTTAAAAAAATGTAAATTGGAAAAAAGAAAAAAAAAAGCATTTGAAATTTCTAGGACATAATGAGGAAAGACGGTTTAGAGAATTTAACACTTACAATATTAAAAGCAGAGAGAAACATGTAATAATGATGAACGAACTTTGATTAGATGACTGAACATTAACAAGGACAAAGAGGGATGGTAAAGAGTCAACAAAAGTTATAAATAACAAGAAATTGTTTAGTACGATTTAATCATACACACGTCCTGGGAACATAAAAAAAGTAAAACGGACAAAAAAACAGGAATGAAGACGAGAACAACTGAAATAATCAACAACTTAATCGGAGCCACTTTCAAATTCGTTACAGAATCCTGTCTAAAAGAAAAAAAAGAGATTCCAACAGGAGACACATAGTGAAGATTTTGAGGACCGTGTGTGTTTGCGTGTTGTTGTATTAGAAACATGTGTGTAACTCCTGCTAGAATATTAAAAGGTCCAACTACAAGAAAATGGTCGGACTTGAATTAAGTCCAACTGAAGATAAACAACAAAAAAACCTAAACAATTCTTCTTCGCTCGCAAAATGAAAAATTCTTCTTCGCTCGTAAAATGAAAAATTAATCCGTTAAGTATTAACTGACATATCTAATACACAATATTTTAAAAAAAAAAAAAATGAAAAATTTCCATTTGTCTAACAACACATAAACAATTCCAAAACTAGTCTTTATGAGGCAAGGCAAATAAAAATAATATTACTTTTCGTACCTGAACGTCAGGTAAGGTTCTGAAATCAAGTTTACTGTTCGGATAAAGAATGTCTAAGGATTGTTTACTCTTGTAAGTGGCGATTTGGGAGACAAGAAGCTTTGAACGATCAGTAGTCCGTCGGAAAAGAGTCGAGGCCGATATTACAGCAAATGGAGATCGTTGTACACATGTCCGAGCGATGTGTGCCGCCATTGCTACACTGCGACTCTCCCAAATGAAGGTGGTGAGTTCTCTCCCCCTAGCAAAGGTTTGCATCTTTAAAGAGAGACAACATGAAGGTCATCGTGTGCAATGAATACACTTTTTGCCAGAAAATGTCGTGACATCCGGGGCTTGATTTTAAATTGTACTGATTATGTATGAGCATCATAAATAATTATGAAAAGTTATATGAATTAAAATTTAATGCAACACATTATTTTTTAGAAGGTTATAAAAAAGAACTAAGTAAAAAAATAATTTTTTTCTTCGTTAATGAATCTCTATTTTCCCTGTTGAGAGACATTCAAAAAAAGATGAAACACCGACTGTTCTCTATTATTTCAAAGATGATTTCTGCCAATCTAGGTACTGGAATATTTAAATGTTCTTGCCGGTAACCATGTTGGTGGCCTTTGATAACATAAGGTTAAATTCTATCCCCCCCCCCAACATACCCCCACCACAAAAAAAACATTTGTCTCTGCTACAGCTGTGAAACATGACCAACTACAAAGAAAACATATTTTTTATTAAATATTAAAGAAACACAATATTCCAGTTAAAAATAAACCTACTAAAAGTAAAATTTAGTTAGGTTATAATTTACATAAAATGATAAATTTTACCCATTGTATACAACTTATATCAAATTATCATATTGAAAAGTTTCATCTTTTTCACATATGTGGTGTTTGGGAGGAAAAACTTTAATAATCTATATAAATTAAGATTTGATAAAATAGACAAATTAGATTCAAATTATACTGGGCACATAAACAAAATTTAAAACCTCTCTCTATTGAAAACTTTTAATAAGATACACTATATCTACTGAGTGAATGACTATGGGTTATCCCACTTGACTTTCCTAAAAAAATCTGTCTCTAGGGGATGCTTCTGTAGTGACACTAAGAGCAGAAACAGGAAGTTACCTCCTTCATAGCTTAAAACATAATGACATATTTTGGGCTTTGTGCAATAGGCTCTACACATAACTTCGGAATGAGATATTCTCTAAATGTAGACATAAGAAACGTTTCAAAACATGAACACCGTTTTGTAACATGTTGTCACTTATGTCAGCTCCATCTTAGTCCAATAACATCAGACATGACATTTTAATGGAATGACTATTATGTTTATTATGTTTATCTCTAAATGTATCATTGTGCACGTTTATGTAGCGTGTGTGTGTATGTATGTATGTATGTGTGTGTATATGTGTATATATGTGTGTGAATGTGTGTATATGTAAAGGTGTGTGTATATATGTATGTGTGTGTATATGTATGTATATGTATGTGTATATATATATATATATGTATATGGGTATATATATGTGTATGTATGTGTGTATATGTATATGTATGTATGTGTGTATGGATGTATATGTGGGTATGTGTGCATACACGCATATACGTGTATATGTATGTGTGTGTATGTGTATTTGTATATATATATATATATATATATATATATGTATGTATGTGTATGTATGTATGTGTATATGTATGGGTGCATGTGTATGAGTGTATATGTATGTGAAAAGTGTGTGTATATGGATATGTGTATGTGTGGATATGTGAATATATTTTTATATTTTTATATATGTGTGTGCACGTATGTATGTGTGTGTATGGGTACACGCCTATGTGTATGTGCATACATGTATTTGTTATTGTGTGTATTCACATGTGTCTTTGAACATAGAAATATAGGTCCTTGCTGGATTAGACAATCGTTATATTTATCGTCATATATTTATATTTGATTTGTAACCTGTAGTCGATATTAATTTTGTCAAATTTTCTCAATTACAAAGCGGACCTTTAAGTAAACGCAATTTTACTTTCCTTCGTCCCATCTCTCTCCCCCACCTCCTCTTTCCCCTTCCCCTCCCTCTTATTCGAGCTTCGAATTGTCTATGGTGTATATATGTCACCACGAAATGTATCTTTATGCATTAGACATCCGTCGACATTCATTCTCTTATCTTAATTAAAACCCTTTCCCCCACATATCCTAAAATTCTCTCTGTTAAGGTTCAATCTCCCTCCTCCTCATATTTACACTTTCTCTAAATTCTGTTTCCACTTCCGGAGTGCGTTTTTTCTGTTTTCTGTTTTCATTTTGAATTTGTAGGTCTGATGAATTGGATCGTATTTACGATTCCAATGGAATAAATTATGACCATGGAATATTAGTGTTTAAGCCTTTTTATTATATATATATATATATATATATATATATATATATATATATATATATATATATATATATATATAAACAAATATATGTATTAAACAGAACAATTTTACAATGGACATAGACAATAATATTTGTATGTGTGTGTGAATATTTGTGTGTGTTCTTTGGTGAATGTTTGTACATACGTGTATGTGTGTATATTGTTTATGGTGTCTTCCACAAATGGGAAGATGTGGATCTTCTAAGAGAACTTACATTGTAGTTGACGAAATGAAGAAATGAAGAAGAGAACGATGCAAGAAATTGTTGGGGATGTGCAGAATTTATTAATTGTAATTGAGAGAATCAGAAGGAATTTATGTAGGTTGCGTGACTTTCTGCATCCACAAACAAATAAATAAACAAATTTTAAATACGATTAAGAACAAGACATATTCAATTATGAAACTAATAAAACATTTATATACAATTCAAAACAATATACAAGTAGGATATTTGGTATATGTCATTATGGCAAAGTGTGTGTGATGTTTTATGTTTCAGTATGTCTCTCTTAGTATGCGTTTCTTCATTTACAGTCTTTTTAGATTTGTGTTGATATTAAAATTGTCAATATTAAGTGTCTTTTTGGCAGTAGTTCTTACAGAGTGATCTACCTTTGACTGTATTATTTTTTAAATCATTCGCACATTGATTTTCACTTAATAGGTAGTGAATATAATTCACTTTGGATAAGCAAAGTTTGTGATTCGATGTCCACAGAGTTGGTTGAGTTTAAATTGCAAGTGAGTCAGCGTTGATGTACCTTTGTGCGGTAAAATCGTGATTTCGAGTGACGTGGAGTATGTTGGCAATTTCTCTGTGGGTGTTCATCTCTGACTGCTTGGGTCAGTCGGCGTTTTCTTTTATGAGTTCTGAAAGTCAAAAATTGGCTCACGGAGTTTTGGCGCAATTTTGTTTTTGCACGTGAACTTTCAGATTATTGTGTCATTAACCAATGAGATTGGTTGATTCGCCTAGTACAGTTTTTATTGGTTGAAGTTTTCTGTACATAGGCGTAAGATATAGACTGTTCTGTTACTAGGGGTGATAGGTAGGAAAAAGACGAGTCTACAAAGTCACCCAGTATTTATAGTATAGGGAGAATGACTCCTAGTGACAATTTGAGAATTAAGGAGGAGCTAACTCCGACAAAGACATAGAGAGATCAACACTTACAACTATGAGTGGATACATCAAAGGCATCTCAGCTTCAACAACCACTACCACTCCTCACACTTTTCTCATTATTTTCACCCCTTTTACTTCTCTCATACATTCTACCTCCTTTTTCTTATTCATAGGACTTATTACAAAATGAAACTAGCATCTCTCAAAAACACTTAAGTACTTTTTACGAACTCTTGTATTCACTGAAAAATAACAAAAAAAAAACATTTTATTTAATCTTACTTAAATATCAACTTTGTGCCATCTATGAACATTACTACTGTTTTTGTACAATACAAAACTACTTCCGTTCTGGGTATGACGATAAACTGCATCCACGTCCTGGGTAAGATGATAAACTACATCCAACAGCAAGGCCTCTGATCAGGTTTTGAGGTGCGTGGAACCACCTCTTAATTGCTGGTGTTCCCAGGTCCATCCTGGCCTGGGGTGGTAGCACCTGTTAGGGTTCCAGCTATGGGCAAATAGTTAACACCCAGACTCTATCCGCATCCTGGGTAAGATGATAAACCATGTCCAACAGATCTTGTCCTGGGTATGACGATAAACTACATCCCAGTCCTGGGTATGACGATATACATCCACGTCCTGGGTATGACGATAAACTACATCCGCATCCTGGGTATGACGATAAACTACATCCGCATCCTGGGTAAGACAATAAACTATGTCCAACAGCAAGGCCTCTGATAATACGTTTTTGGAAAAATAATGTTACCAGCTGTACGTTTTTGAAAAAAATATTACCAGCTATATGTTTCATTTTTTTTTTTTGAAAGAATAGTGTTGCCAGCTATATGTTTTTGAAAAAATAATATTACCAGTTATATGTTTTTTGAAAAATAAAATTACCAGCTATATATTTTTGAAAAAATAATATTACCAGCTATACATTTTTGAGGAAAAAAAGTATTAACAGAAATAGATTTTTGACAAAACAAAAGTATTACCAGGAAAAAAATAGTTGTTGGCATTAAATGACCCATTGAGGTTGATGTGCCGTAAAACAAAACAAACCAAACCAAGCAAAACTAATTATTAATGTTTATAAATTATTATTGTTATACTCCAGACTTGATTGTTCTTAAGATGTAGTTTATTGTGTTTTATTTACTCATTCATACATCCTTTATAGTGGGCTAATCTTAACAAGGCCCAAATAGAACCCCACAAATAACCCACTGTACTTCTAAAACCCATAAATAAGAAATTATATTCTTACTTATTCTCTTTTAGTCTTTTATAGTTACACAACTCCAGCTATTCATTCATTTTTGAATAAGTTCTGAAAGTTTCATTTAAATTAGACAATTATTTGATTTTTGCAATAATTTAAAAATTAATGGATTCTCTCCTGAAATTGCTACACTAAAAAAAGCGATGACCACAAGTCGTACGGTTTTAACAAAAAAAAATGAGATTTTTGACCCAAATTTAAAATGTGTTAGAAAGAAGAGAAAAATTTTTAAAAATATTTTAAAAATACTTTATTCTTTCCTCTTAAGAATAACATAGATATTTTAATGATGAAACTTTGTTTTTATTAAGTTTCG